TCCGTTTAACCTTTTTATATACTTCTACTGTTAAATGTTCAAATTTTTCGATTAATCAAATGTTAGTTCATATTAAATTAATCTTTTTTGTTATTGTCTGTGCAATGTCAAATTTACTAACATATTTTTTTTTATTTGTTGAAATAAGAAACCAATCATAATCAGAAAAAAACTACGTTTTTTTCATAGGATAGGGTAATTCCAACAAAGATTTAAGCCAGATATTGTCCATTCATTTTCATATGTTTAAATATAATATAAAATTTGAATGAAACATTGAGAAAACGCCCAGTATTAAAATCCTAGCCTAGTATGATCCATTGAAACAATACATGACTGTATAAATCAGGTCCTTTAAAAGCATTAAAGAAGGAATTCCATGGAGGAATAAACTTCTTCTGTAATATCCTTCATTCATCAATTCCTTTGCCAAAAGCTTGCCTTCTTTTAGAAACTGTTTGGGCATAGAGCATGTACTGAAAGATATAAGGAGGCCATAAGATTACTAGTATATTGCTACAAACGTAAGGAAAGTTGAAAATGTTTAATATTCCAAACAACCAACATGGATTTGAATTATAAAACATCCAAAATATAGAGCTGTTGGTCATTTTGTGTGAAAATGTAGGACTTTTGTATCTTCGTAGCTTATCTTGCATCACATAATACTGAGAAGCTTTGGTAAAAGAAAGATAAGTTGCTTCTCAAAAAAGGTTTGTCATATTGGAATTTTGTACTCACTTGATAAATTATGCATAGGTATAATTATAGAAAGGATATATTGGCCTAAGTACTTAAGACATTTTTTTACCTTTGCTGCATCCCTGGACGGATATTAACTGTTTCAATACTTTTTTTCTTTTCAATAAAACATTGTTAATATCTTTTCAGTAGCAAGAATGGACTCCGTAAACATAAAATATCATAAATTTTAAGTATTCTCTTTACAAATGAAAGAAAAATGTGGAATGAACAAAACCTTTTAGATACTTAAAAATTCCCAGGAACTTTTGTACAATTTTAAATGAAAAAGATTTTACCGAAGTCAACAGTTGAAAAACTTGCAACTTTTAAACTATATACACAACTATTCCCCACAACGTAAATAAATTAAAGTCTAGGATTTTTTTTATATTATTGACAGCTTCTTCTTCAATAAAGATAGAATTCGTAAATTAACTTACCCTGTCATTCAATTGGTCATTTCACTCATTTGCAAAATTATTTTGTTTAAACACATACCGCTTGTACACACAACTACTCTGAAGTTGATATTAAAAACATATGTTTCTGATTGACAATATCTATGTGTTGTTTTTTTAACAGGTCTTCCAACAATCTATTGGAATTTCCATGGGTACCAATTGCGCCCGGTTAATAGCAGATCTTTTTTTGTTTTCGTATGAAGTAGAATTTGTCCAAAATCTTAAGGAAGCTCTAAACACTAATAAAAATTGCTTTTTGGACTTGGAGAAAAATATATCATTTAAAGGTGTGCATATTTGGACTATTTAGTTAATTTTTGACATAGGGTACGTACCTGCCTTATTTCCGCAGGAAAAATGTTCAAAGACAATAGACTATTTGTGAGCAGAAATCACTGTTGTTTACAAACATAGGGAAAATTTGTGGAAAATATTAATTAATTCATTTACTTATGCTTGGTATAACATAATGCTGTAGAATAGTTTAATCTATTACTTGTGTAGTTAACTGTACATAACCATTTTTCTATCTCACTTCTAAGGGCAGATCACTCTAACTGCATATAAATACAAATAACTGTAAATAACCATTTTTCTATCTCACTTCTAAGGGCAGATCATTCTAACTGTATAAAAAGATATATAGAACTCTTAAGTGTGCTGTGTATAGAGCTTCCTTAAGCTTGAAAAGAAAACGCTTTCTACATGGCCTTCAACCCGACATTTAGTTACATCGACGACCAGTTAACAATACTAGTAGTTATTCTCATTCCGTTGTCGATGCTCTATCCCGGTGAGCTTTATATTAGAGATAACACAGAGTTGGAGTTTGACACATCTGTTTCATATTTTTATTTTTGAATAGAAAAAGACGTTAATGATAATCTTACAACCAACCTCTATGATAACCTGGTGACTACTAGTAACATTTCTATCGTCAACTTCCCTTCCTTATGCACCAATATACCTCCCTTACCTGCATATGGAGTTTATATCTCTCAGTTGATTCGATACGCAAGAGCATGCTCTACGTATGTACAATTTCTAAAACGAGGTAAATTATTGACAAACATGTTGATGAAACAAGAATACCAGCATCTCGTTTAAAAACAAGTTGATGAAACAAGAATATCAGCATGTTTAAATTCATCATGTCGTAAGTTCTTTGGTCGATACAATATGACCTTGTCAGCAAATACAATTTATCATTGAGTCAAATGCTGCATGACTGATGTTTTTCATAATATAATTGTTGTCCATTATTTACATACTGAGTTGTCGACGGATTTTCCGTTATTTACCGATCAGAACAAGGAGCACACAGTGGGTATGATCGGTCGGCAGGGGATGCTCACTCCTCCACGGCCCCTGATCCCACCTCTGATGTTTTGGAGGTCCGTGTTTGCTCTGCTCCAATTTGTTCAGCTTAAGGGACTTTCGAGCTTGAATATTCTTCGTTACCTCCATATATTTCATTGACGGTAAAAAAAAGTTGAAGTCTTCACGTTTATCATAAAGTTTTGTTTTAGATTTACCATTAATGTCTTCTACCAGCAAAATATCAAATTATCAGACGTGTCAGACTCTCTTGTACCTTTTATTACAAGTTTACTGGGATATATAAGTCGACATATGAATATAGAAATAACGTTTGTTAATTGATTATACATGTACACATATTTCGTCAATATATCTAAATGTCAAGTTGAAGACCACAGAAAATGTTTTAAATTTCTTTTCCCAATTTTAAATAAATTCTGCTTTTTGTGATTATATAAAAAATACATACGTACGTCTCCTGATAAAGGATTGCAATTAGTACAATCTAATTAAAATTAGATCCTTTGATCCGCTCACCTAAGATCGCTACACAAAGGTAGCGATCTTAGGTGAGCGGATCAAAGGATCTAATTTTAATTAGATTGGCAATTAGTACCAATAGATCATTCCGACAGATTTTTGATCTCCAAAAACTACATAATTTTTTTTTTCATTCAAAAGTGCGAGTATATATTAATTATATAACAACTTCAGTGTTCTTAATTAGGATTAGGATGATTTTTATGAAGGCCGATAAGGCCTGTCGGCGCTCGAACAAAATTCGGAATAATTTACGCATATAATTAATCCGTTTGCTTTTATTTCTTTAGTACTATGTAATACATTGAACTAAAATTAACATCACTGAAACCAGAATCAAAATATTAATAATATGTCCAAATTTCATATAAATAGCTTTAAAAACAAACGATTGGTGTCATGATTTCCATAGTATCGTTGGAATTGAGTTTCATGAAAATGACGTCGTCAAACGCGTAACTGGCGCAAGGAGATGTAATAAATTGTGTTGAATAACTATGCTTTATTTACATCATAGACGGGAAAATGAGTAAAGAAGTGACATTACACACCAGATTTTAATTTAAAAAGTTTATTTTTAAATGGAACAATATTCATTGAGAGTTTTCCTCCCTACCGAAAATAGTTACGGCATGTAAGAAGTAGAGTACTATTTGTAAAACGCAGACACATTGGAAACAATTTGGACGTCAAACATGTGTATTCTCTCCTGCCTACAATATAAGGCGATCTTTCGACTAAATTTCGACTAAAATTTGAATCTGCTTTAAAAAATATATAAAACAATAAAACAAACGGACAATAGTGAATTTAAATAAGTCCCTTAGTCAAGAGTGATTTTTCACTGTAAAAGGAAATATTGAATGTTAATGGACGCGAGTAAAGCCATGAAAGCAGATAAAGAGATCATGACGTTATAAGAGACGTTATTTACGTTTGCTTTCGTGCGCCGGTGTATACTTACATTCTTTCTTTATTTTTACATAATTTTCTTATTAGATGTAATATCATCATGAAACTTGAAATGCATGATCATAAAATGTTACTTTTTGCTATGACAAGGAAAGAAATTTAATTAAGCAAAGCGAGGCTAAACTGTTTTCTCTGTCTACGACAGATTTTGTATATCTTATACTTATATACCTCTGACCTGATTATATATATATGTTGTAAATATTTCTCTTTGTCCTCATGTACCATGTATTAAAATGGTGTTGAGTGAATAAATGAACTTGAACTTGAACTTGAACTTGACCTTTTGGGACAACCCTCGTATGTAACGTTGAATCAGTATATATTACTTTGAACTCGAAATGAAGGATATCACACAGTCCGACTCATCTGTATCATACTCGAATATTTTTACTAAGAAAAAAAAATATTGATATCCTAACAAAAAAGTTTGCGATAATCGAGAGTCTTCAATTTTTCGATTATCAACTTCCTTTATTCTAGTAGTATACATGTACCATCATCACCAGCATATGGAGCTTACGTCTCCCAATTGATTCGTTATTCGATAGTATGCTCCAAATACAAACAATTTCTGAACGAGGCAAGATATTGCAAATAAATTGAGGAAACACGTCTTATATTATTTAAAGTCAAATTTTGGAAAACTCTATGGTAGATACAATGACTTTGTCGGCAAATACGGTCTCTCGTTTAGTAAAATGTTGACTGACTTTTTTCATACAAACTGTACGACCATGACTTGTTTTCACGGTGAATTGTCCACGGATTATCCGTCTGATCATGATAAAGAGCTCATGGTGGATGTTTTGGGTCAACAAAGGATGCTCACCATTCCATGGAGCCAAATTCCATCTCTGCTGTTTTTAAATGTGTTTGCTCTGCTACCTATATTTGTTTCACTGGACATTTAAACTTGGTTACTGTAAGTTATCCCTCTGTTTGATTTTACAGGTCAGCTACACCAACATCCAAACATTGAATGGCGGACAGGAGCTGTTATTGAAGGTTTATACCGTAAATGTTGCCCCGGAGGAGAATCCAAGTAAGATTTAATATATGGTTTGAAAACGCATTTAATTATATCAAATGTGCTTTAAGGATATAATGTACTAGAAATAAAGGATAGTCTTGCATCACAGGGACGTTTTCAGGAGTGGGTCGGGGGCTGTCCCTTATTCCAAACATTAACTTTTTACTATTGAAAATATTCATTGAAAGCCTGACCCCCCCCCCTTTCCAATGTTGCAGTATAATGAAACCATGTAATGTGGTACATTGGTAACCAAAAAAGTTTCCCCTCCTCCAAAGAAATAAGATTTTAGAAATTTGGAATTTTGACTTTTTATTTTTGCTTGTCAAAGTTAATCCGGGTAAGTTGATTTTTTCTGTGTCTGGTCCCTCCCTTTTCAATAGCGATACTACGTATCTACATCAATAAATGATGTTAATGTATCATTTATAATTAAGTGGCCTTGTTTACTGCTAAAAGATAGATATTTTAATAGATTTCATGGAAGTGATATTATTATTAATAAATGCAAAGGCAAGGCCGTCTCCAATTTTCTAGAAAACGAGTGCGGGTAGTGTGTCAAATGGGTACGAATGACAGTCAGGAAATGTTACATAAAATTATGGGTATAATTTTTGTTAGCTCTGATGGATTATTTAATTTTAAAAGTTAATTTTCATCTTTATAAGTAGAGGGGGCGGGGGAAGGGGGGGGGGTCGCAACCAAGCAGTCCCTTTCCGTCGGGCTCTGAAAGGCACTCGCCAAAAGAATATAGCCATATCATTTATTTGGTGGATTTCATATGATTTAGTGGTTACTACAGGGCTTATCATATTGATCTAAATAATATCTATTTAGTTTAAATTAATATCCAGGCCAAATTTAACCAAAACCTACAACTTCTATTGTTTGTTTCTTTTGTTTATTTAATTGCATTATATTTCTTCTTTTCAGATGTAAAGGGTATTGACAATGATTTTTCAAAATGGTAAGTATATTTTAGTTGCCCTTGGAATATTGTGTCACGCACTCGAATTGACTTATTGAAACTCTACCATGGTACATGTACCAGAATCACGTCTTTTTGCATTATATCTAAAATACATATCTTACCTTTCGGAGCTTCTCCAAATATTTTACTATTGAATAAATCTTTAATCTAACACTATATAATGACAAAACTTACGGAGGTTTAAGTACAGATGATACAAACAAAAATTGGATGCCTGGATTGGTATATTTTTTTTGACCTAATTTCATTGCAAATGATGCAAATATTAAATTTCTAAAATATAAAGAAATTGTAAATCTTCTGTGACGTTCAAATTCTACCCTTCTGAAACAATCCTTATTATTCTATACAAATATGTTTCACTTCAAATAACATTTTTTGTGCAGCTCTCAATAAAAATTTAAAAACTACGCGGTGAAACCTAATCATTTTATTCATTAAAACATGATCCAAGGTGTTATCTTCAAAATTTTTGACAAAAGTTTGTTTGTATCATCTGTCCTTAACTTAAAAAATGAAACCCCCTTTTAAAGGGATACATATTTGTAGTTTTTGTCCCCCGCTTTCGCGAAAGCGAAGGGACATTAAATCTAATTCGTCTGTCCATATCTTTCAGTTTATCCACAAAAACGTTAACCTTGATCATAACTTTTGAATGAGAAGAGATAAGCTTAAATTATGGCTTTCGTAAGTTACACATGTACATGTGTTTTGCCTGTTACAAGACTTTTCTAAATAAACTATATAATTTTTGACCCTTGGACCTTGAAGATTGACCAGCTTTTCAAAAATTTATATATTACTTTACATTGGCCATAACTTTTGAAAGAGAAGAGTTAGGGCTTTCATAATACACATATGTTTTACATGTGACAAGGCCTTTCTAAATACAAGTTATATTTTTTTTACCCCTGGACCTTGACCTTGAAGTTTGACATACTCTTCAAAAACTTAAACCTTGGTCATAACTTTTGAATGAGAAGAGATGTATAGTTTTCCTTTTACACCTCTGTTTCACCTGTTAAAAGACCAGGGGCCTTGAAGTTTGACATACTTTTTATAAATTTATAAGAGAAGAGATAGGGCTTTCAAAATTGGCATTTGCATTGCCTGTAACAAAATATTTATGAGTATGCTTTATTTTTTTTTTTTGCCCCTTGACCTTAACAGCTGCGTAATGCTTGACCTAATTTAAATAAAAAGAAAAACCATACTTTGGTGATTACTTTTGCGTGACACATGATAAGACTTGCATATTTGACATAATGTGCCATAAATAATTTCATTCCACCCACTAAAACACAAAACGCACAGGGGATCAAAATTCTTTGAATTTGCTTGTCTATCGTTTGCTGCCCGCTCCTGGTAAAATGAAGAGAAAAAGCCAGGATTCTTCAGTGACACTGAAATTCAAAAATACTAAGAAAATCCCAAATTTCTTTTAGTAAATTTGAAATAACTATTTTTCAAATTTGAAAAATATTTTTGGTATCGTTCTGTACAATAATACATCATTGAATTAGTATCGGGATCGTAATTCACTTTAATCGAAATAACTGTCGTTTGGTGGGAAACCTCTGAGTCTCAAGTTGAGTTAAAAAATAAAAGGAAAGAGAGAGGAGGAGAATCAGAAATAACAATATTTGTCGGGGGAAAGGAGAGAGGTGAATTATTTCCAAATATTTTAGTTATTGGCTCCATCTTGCTTTGCAGAAAATGGTGGATACGGCATATCTGATACGTAAAGTAACGGAGTGTCGATCAGGGTTCTCCACATTTGAAAATTTAACCAGGGAGGAAGCTGTCGAAGGCGAAATGTGACCCAAATGCGTGTTAGTCTTCCTACTCTTCATTAACCAATGATTGGTTTTACAATTTTTAAAATTAACCACTGCAACACAAAACAATGGAATAACTATCACTTTTTAAAGTAAAAAAAAAAATTGTAAAGGATTTATCCTGTATCTTACTTCACAAATGTACTAAAATTTTCCCAAAACTGTAGTAACCTTCTGAAGGAATTTAAAGAAAAATTGTTGATACAGTAAATCAGTAACCATGGCAATATTTTTTCAGAAACTAATAATTATAAGAATTGTAGTCTGTTGTATGAAATGTTTTGTTCCATTATAACTAAAACTGATGAATGAGTAGTATTTTTTTAACTTAAAACACTAAGGAACATTTGGACCATGCAGTGTCCCTTTTTTCTAAACGTTTTATTTTTCTAGACATTGCATTTTCCACCAAGTTTTGTTTACTTCTCCACATGCCCAGTGCTAAAAATAGTGCCACGCGACATTTCATAACAACGGGAAGTAACTCTAAAACTACGACTATACCGGCGATTAAAACTAAGATTGTTAAGACGGCGATTGAGACGTAGGCCCTATGCACATTTTATCAAAAAGATTATAAAGTTAAAGCTTAAAAACAAAGCATGGGAAATTGATTACTACAGAGGAATATGAAATTTTTACAGAGTATTTTTTTTCTGACACAGCATGCATGCCGATTATCATGCTTGTAATTGTCATCTTTTAAATGAACGCTCAAGCCGTTGTATATCTAATCATGTAGTGAAAATGTTGACGTTCCCCAAAATTATTTACATGTGTACAGGATAATAAACTCTCAAAATATTAATCATCTGATCAGCTGATTGACTCTCCATTGATTGTCACGCTTCACAGCATAGTCGGCTCGCTGATTAACGAGTTTGTTTAGTACAGTCGGCTTTCCTTCGAGGCATGCGAGGTGCAGGGCAGGCGTAGTATAAACACAATTAACTACTCAAGTCATTAAAAAAGTAGGTGTCAGGATTGAAATGCAATAAAATTTAAGCATGGCGGCTGCCGATTTTAACCATGGCGCACAAAAATTTAACCATGGCGGGCCGCCATGGTAAAACCCCTTGTGGAGAACTCTGGTCGATGATTCAATTTCTCAAAAATAAATTCAAACATAAATGTTGAAATTAGCTAAATTAAGTATATTGTGACTTTATTTAATTTTTGTTGAATAAATAGACTGTTTCATGATCACTAAGGTACTACTCTTTTGCAGGGCAAAATGATATATTTTGGTGAAATACAACCAGAGACATAAATCACTATAAATCAGGTCTGGTACAATCACTAGATTTAGCTACGTAGCTTGATTTACCTACATAGCTTTATTTACCTACCTGAGGTAGCTTTATTTAGCTACCAAATTGATTTATTTCTATTAACAAGCATTTTTCTCAGGGTGTGCAGAAAATATCATTTTGATGCAGTGATCATTTTCAACTTTGAACTCATCTGAAAACAACTCATGAAAAAATCCCTCTTGGAAAAATGTCTTTTTCTGCGCAATTGCAATCAAAGTTCTGAAAGTTTTGTGGCTATGTATGACAGTTAGAACAGTTACTCCTTGAATGAAATGACAAAGAAGTCCAGTTCCGGTTAACACGATAATAGGTCAGTAATCATTCAGCACAATGTGAAGTAATCATACTCAGTGATGCCTCACCGTGCCTAATAGACAGGACAGTTATCCAAACAATGGAATTACATGTTTTGCTCTAAATTGTCCAAACGCAGCAATGTATAAACTATCTCTGCTTTGGATTGTTTTTTTAAGCCTCCATAGTATAAATATCAATAGTCATTTAATTGCGACTTTTTGTCTCTTTTTAATAAAAAGAAAACTTTTGAAAACTTACCTTGAAATAGCTAAATAAAGCTACCTGAGGTAGGTAAATAAAGCTACGTAGGTAATTCTACCTACGTAGATGAATCTAGTGATTGTACTGGACCTGTAAATAACATATATCCGCAACTGCACCTTTAACATGTTTGTCTACTGAAATATGTGAAGGTCTTGGTATTATCCTAAGAATAACTTATTATAGGTCTTGTACTTCTATCTTAAGTAAAATTAATATTATTAAAGACGTCAATAGATATATTATCTATAGACCATTGTAGACCCAAATTAACAAGTTATTTCCCATTGGCCGCCATATCGAGGGTCAATATGCTCACATTCCTTCATTATTCAACCAACTTGAACTTTCTATACTGGCAATTGTGGGGTGGGAAGCATTGTTTTCTGAAAAAGATATATATTTGTTAGATCCGCCTTTATTTTATAGTTTTTATTCCATAAAAATTTTTCCCCAAATATTTCTGCTACACCCTCTTATATCTGGTGGGGAAAAGAGGGAAAATAACCAGGTTGAACCCCCAATATGGCCCCAATGGGGAATAACTCTTGTTAATTTGGGTCTACTGAAAACTGTCTATAATCAAAAGTTGACAACATTGTGATAGCTGTTGCAATTTCAGATTTCTCCTTCCTAAAGTTCTTTTCAATAACTGTACATAAAGTTTAATTGTTATACCTTTCAAAATTTGTTTGTATACAAATCTATATGGAAAAAGTCTAACATTTCTAATATTTTGCTGAGCGGGCATAAAAAATCGATGTTTGACTGCTGAGTGAGATGTTGGACTGGTAAATGAGATGTTTGACCTCTTACATCACAGAATGGGCGGAGCTTAATCTCATTTTCATTCGTTGGTATTCAACAGTGACAGACAGTACAAAATACATGTTTGTTAAAAAAAATAAAAATAAAAGTATATAGCAAAACATTTATTGACCGAGTTCTAGGGCTAAATGCAATTTTTTGACCCTAATGGCCCCAGGCAGGCAGTTTGGTTCTTGGGTCCGACAAAATGCATATTGCCCTCGAGCTCAGTCAATAAATATATATCAGTTCTTAGGTACATGTATAAGGCTTTTGATATATTTATCCCTCAACAAAGTTGGGAAAGCTTATGTAATACCCTCAGCTTCGGCATTCCAGGTTAAAGGTACTTGGACACAGATTTGAAGTTATTTTCTGTATAATATTACAACTTATATGTTTTAATAGCATTTCACACATAAATTAATTAAAAATCTTATTTCATATAAAAGATATTTAAATTTCACATTTTTGGCGGGTTTGATTGACACATTCTTGCACTTTCACAAATTAATTTTATTCTTAATCCTTAGGAAAAGTGGTAATCTTGTTGTGTATAAATGAAAAATATTATAACTTTAATAAGGAATGACCATGAGGTTAACATTTTTGGAGCAGATTAACATTGTTGGTACAAGTTAAACTTTTTTGTGCAGGTCTCATTTCAAAGTAACTTAAGCCCTATGTTGACCAAACTTGCATGGATGACAAATCCAAGGATGTAAACTTGTGGATTTAAGTGAAAGTTTTTGCAGGTCTCATTTCCAAGTAACTACAGTAAAACTCGTTTATAACGAAGTCATGGGACCTATGAAATTACTTTACTATATCGGATCCGTAATTCGTTATATTCATCGAAGCGGATTGAAGATAACTTCCCTATATCCTTGAATTTGCAATATCCATTTTCGTACTAAATGAGTTTTAGTGTATGAGCCATATGTTGACCAAACTTGCATGGATGATACATCTAAGGATGCATACTAAAAGGCTTGTTTCAGAGACTGGATCAGGGGCCCGTTTTACAAAAGAACTTACGACTAAGACCAAAAACTTCAAGTTATCGTAAAAGTTTGCAAAATTAATAATTATCTTTGAAATTGATTGTGTAAAAATATCTTATCACGTTCCTTTTAAAAAGTTCAAATAATTTTCGATATAATATTAATTAAAACATTATATGAAGATTTTAAGTCGTACAAGTCCTTCTGTAACACGGGCCCCTGATCTACATTCTCCAGATGAGCGAACAGGTTAACATTTTTGGTGTAGATCTCATTTCTAAGTAGCTGTTTACCCAATTTGACCAAATTTGCATGGATTATAAATCTAAGTATGCACACTATCCGGCTTGTTTAGGAGGCTGGATCTGCCCTACATTTTCCAGATGAGTGAACAGGTTAAAGTTTTTGCTAAGTCTATTCTCAAATAACTGCAATCCCCATCAGAACAAAATTGCATAAATGTTGCATCTAATGATCTTGGGATGTAAACTTCTAGATTATTTCTTTTGTTTAATGTGGGACTTTGTCTCAGTTACTTAAAGAAAACATTCATTGAAGTGAGTTCTATCTGTTATCTCTGATTACCTATGCTAATCATCTTTATTCCACACATTGAGAATCAGTAGCTCTGATATAAATTAATATTATGTTAAACGAAAACAGAGAAAAACAAAGATATATAATTTTGTGTATAAAATGGGTCAATACATGTCATTTGATGACAAATCAAATTGTATTGTAAGGGTAAGTTACTTGTTTTGGCTGTGTCTACCTTGCTATCATTGTGGCTATTTTATAATGTTTACGCAGATTTTTCAGCCTTTTTCTTGCTGACAGTTGAAATAAATAAGGCTGGATATTTAAATTCATATTCAAAATATCAGTGATTTAGTCAATGGTCATTCATAACAGAAAATTCAGTTTGTATTAGGTATATTTTAGTGAACAGTTGATCAGCCATTGTCGTCTTGACATCACAGGATCATTTGATTGCTATGTTATTAACTTGGGACTTTTAAATCAAGAGTCTTCATTTGAGTCAATAATTGGTCATTTCTCTACCTTTGCTAAGTAAAACCAGTAGAGCTGCAATCATCAAAGACTTCTATTATACATGTACTTGGAAAAGGGAGCTGCTTAATTATACGTTACACTATTAAGTTTAAGATTATAAATATATTAATGTTCAAACTGTTTACTTATGCAGTCATCATCTTTACCAGACTTTAAAGTAATAATTGTTGATTTTTTGAAAGGTTTTCCTTTGTGATATCTACACGAGGAATAGTGGACCATGTGTATCATCCAAAAGGAGAAGAAGAAGAAGTGGTGGCCATCAAGAAAAGTATTGCATCTATATTTGCATCCAAACTCCATGAAGCAGGAGAGGTAATTTCATAGATATACTGTAAACCAACTTTTATTCGTGTGCGAAAAATATTTGCGAGTTTCGCGATATACTTTAACTCACGAATATTAATCATCCCAAAGCATTTTTTTACTTGTGTAAGTAGAGGATGGTTCCTCAGTCACAAAAATTAATCATCGCTGATTGATTCCAAACTGAAGAATTGCAAATGAAAGATGATGCAAATAATAGTTGGTTTACAGTACCCTGGAGGGCATTTTATTTTATCTTTCCAAATTGATTTCATTATTATATGTCTTGCTACAACCATTGTAACATTAATTTGTGGAAAAAAAAAATTTTTTCTTGGACAAAATAAAATTTCATAGTAGGAAACAAGAGGCTTTTCCCTCTTTCATTCTTGTACAAGTTTAGAAAATGTAAAATATTTAGAAAAGTCTCAAACTTTTAAAATAATGATAGTATATATCACATGTTATTGTCATGCATGATTGAGTAGTGTATCTGTATTTCAGATTCCTGGCAGGAGAAGCAGTGGTGTTTTTACTTACCATGTTTCAGAGAATGGAAGTGAAGGTAGACTATTTTTAGGTCACCTGAGTCTACTCAGGTGACATATTGCTATCCGTTTTTGTCCGTCTTCATCTGTCCTATGTTTAAAAACCTAGTTCTTTTCACCTGGACACCAGCAGTCAAACTGTTGGCATAATTGTAATAAGCATTGAGTCCTCTACCAAAATTGTGAATTTCATGGCCCCAGGGTCGGGGTTCTGGTGTTGGGGCAGGGCTCTATTCATTATATAGTGAAAATGCATTAATTCTTTGAAAATCTTTTCCTCTGCTCCTAGGTATTAAACAAACTAACTGCATACATAGTTGAACAGGTCTGGACGATTTCCAAATATGGAAGTCAAGAAGATAACCGTGAATTGTTATAAATACACAGGATAAACAAGGTGCCTATCTCTCTGACCAATCAGATAACGGCATTTAGACAAACCCATGAGAAAATAAATAAAACACGTGGTATTAAACTTTTTTGCTCAAAAGATTTTTTTAAAACAATTTTTTTGTAAACTTTATGCCCATTTAGGAATGATATAGCATATATGACAAATCTACCGTGAACAAACATAACTTGAGCGTTTAGAATAAATTCTAAGTGGGATTAAACATCCGTCAATACGAGGTTGTAATCCCAAAAATTTAACTTATGTCAAGAAATTTGATATAAATACGGCCAAATTTCAGTTTTTAGAGCCAGGCATGAAAATATTTTCTAATGGGAATATATTAAGAATAGTTTTATTATTCCCTGAGTGTTTATTAAAATTAACGTCCAGTCTCAAGCATTAATCTACACCCCCTTTTCTCTACCTTTTACACCTTTTCTTGTGTCCATTTAAAGTGTACATAACATGGTATTCAGCGCTCATGAAACTCGTGATACTTTAAATTAAGACTACATGTAGTCTAAACGATGAACACATGTATTCAGTAGTCTTATACGTATGAAAACAATGCGATATCGATGCAAATCGGACAGCTATAAGCAGAATTATTTTTACCGACATAGCGTATGTTCTCCAAATATTATAATTGATAACTTGACGGTGTGATCTATTCTTCCGTAAACAATGGCATATTTGTACACGTGCAGTATTTTTTTTTCAAGATGAAAATGTTAAGTTTGTTCACAGTAAATATATGGGGAATACCTTATTCTTCCAAAATTGCCAGTTTAATTCTTAAGATTTTTTGTCAAAAAAATCTTTTTGAAGAAAAAAACAAAAGCACGTGTTCTCTTTTTGTTTCTCTGGATTATGTTTTGGGGTGTTTAAAAATGCTGTTGTCTGATTGGACTGGAAAATATTTACGTGCACGATGTATATTTATAGCAACTTTCAGTTATAGTTCTTGACTTCCATATTTTGAAATCCTCCTGACCTGTTGAATAGAAAATATTTTATTGTGTAAATAATATACAAATGGTTTGAACATAAGTTCGAACAACTGATGAGGTTCTCACCATAAATGGCTACAAATGTCAATGTCTGTAAAGCAAAACTTGTTTAGTACGAACAGGGATATATGAATTCGCGGATAGAGTGAAGTTAACTTGGATCCCCAGCTATATAAATTTAACAAATTCCTTATATGGATATAGTGAATTATGAATATAGCGAAGTAATTTCATAGATCTGAGTGAGTTTGTTATAAATGAGTTTTACTGTAAGTAGAGAAAACAAACAACATTGATATTCAAACTTGTTAAACATACATTCTTTACATGATAAGTATATAACTAACTAGAGTTCTAGTGTTAAGCTGTAATAATTACCGTATAATCCCTATTTACCGCCCGGGCACTTAGAAAATTGCAAAAAGAGGTATTTATTTATTTTGGTATTCTCTTTATAATATTTAATATCGTATTTTAACTTATAAAAAATCTTCTGAAAAAAAAGTAAATACAAGGAACCACTAAAACATCTAACTTTACTTAAAGTGAAGATATGCTAAATTATTCATTTTCCAATGAGAAATTGAATAATAGACAAGTTTCATATTCACTTTCTTCAATTTTTGATACGACTCTAGTTGATTTTAATCACTGTTTAGGGGGCCCTTATTTCCTGACAATTGAAAAAGACCTAAGGGGGCACTTATAGGGACAGGGGCAGTTAATAGGGATTATACGGTAATTGAAACTACCAGAATCACTTAAAAATTTTTGTACAGATAAAAATATATTCATTGATTGTTAAATAACTTTGATTTTCCTCAAATAGGGGAGCACAATGCTACATATACAGTGTCTTCAATTAAAGATGGTTTAGAATTTAAAAAGACAAGACTCAACCATCCTGTGAAAAATGCAAAGGCTTCATATCAAAAGGTAAAAATATACCTCTTATAATGGTAGATGGTAGATTGAACTTTTGTAGGAAATTCAGTTTTGCCCTGTCAGAATCAAAATTTCACAAAATCAGCTCATAGGAATAATTGTATGCATTTAATTTTTATACTTTTATTTGAATTGTCATGTTAACTATTACTAATGAAATCTGGGATAGACATTCTTGTCCTATGGACATATTTAAGAAATAAATAAGAAGTTTATAAACTTCAATGGAAATTGAAGTGGGTCGGTCACATGATCAAATCCTGTGAAGGCCGAAGGCCTTCTCAGAAGATTTGATCACGTATCGACCCACTTCAATTCCCATTGAAATTTATAAACTTCTTATTTATTACTTATATATACATTTGAGACAGACGACTAAATATTTTCGAATATAAATTATTGCACTAACCGTCCGTCGTAGATTTTGAAAAATGACGCAAGGTGTAAATCGGCTTGAATGGCGGTTACGCTTCGAATTCATTACTGACTTATAAGGCTAAGGATTTTATTTCTAAGGGACTATTTTGTGAAAGGCTACTTGTGATCAGTAATAGTGAACAGATTGTTGTCCGGAAATATTTCTATTCGTGAAAATTGATAATCAATGCTGAAAAGACACAAGAAACACGTCCGAAGATTGATGATAAAAAGTTGGAGGAATTTCGGTCGCCATAAAGGAATGGATGATCTGATGGATGGAAACACTTGAACGTGCCAGTTTATTTACAACCAAGTATTTCAGATCAAAAACTTTTAACCTACGATTTCAATAACTAAAGGCATATTTATGATGTAAACAAATCACGGGGACACTAGCGAAAACTTAACATTGAACTACGACAGCGCCGAGGTGTGTATCAGTTGTTTGTGGCGCGGCGTGATTGCAATGCTTTGATATTTTCCAACAGATTTACACATTTATCGTGAGTAGAATTTGATGAAAAAATTATAGTTTATCGTGAAGATTTAACTAAAAGTCTACCCCAAAAATAAGGATAAACGTTAGAGACTGTACAGCTGAAACAAAGTGACATAAAACTTGTAAACAAAAACGGTATATTCTCCATGTACACGTTAGGTTAAATCGATAGCCAAAATACTATATGAAATACTTGTAAACGTTGTAAATAAAATAATTATTATTCTACTTGCATATTTTGTTCATTTTTATACATGAAAAGCAAGTAGAGCAAGTCATTTTATATTTATATGCACCGGTAGATATTATTGCGCCGTGTGATTAGGTCACGTATTGACCTCTGACCTCGGACAAACTTCATACAGAATTGAAGATATATGTTCTCCGTATGTTTATATAATAGAGAGATACAACAAATGTATATATTTCTATTTTCAAATTGAAGTTTTACAAATGAAGTGAATATGCTTTTATCTATTTCTAAAAATTTTAGACGATGCGCTACCATGACTATCTTGGAACAATTCATAGTGTCCTGATTGAGGAAGACTTTACATCTCCAAAGACACCTCCAGGGTATGTTTGTATGGAGAGGGAAAGAAAAAAGAGATGCCTGATCATATTGACCTGGGTTACTGTATAGACATACATTTATTTTTCTTGTTGGAGAAATTAAAACTATGTAGTCTACACAGTTAAAAAAAAAATTCATGGAAGTTTGTCACAGAATGTCTAAAGAACATGAAAGACATACAAAAACAATCAAAAAATAATCCTGTCAACATAGAACAAATATTGTGACTTTGCATAATCATAACATTGTAGAAGTTACTAGTAAAAGTACTAGTAGAATGTTTGTAGTATAAGGTTGATGGACAGGTAGAACGAGAGCTTTATTTGAAGTTTTTATTTCTTGTATTTTAGGTTTGATCCTCTTTATGGCATGAGAAAAGTTAAAGCTGTAAATGAATTTAGTACAACAGGTAATTTTTTTCTCTTAATTGATTTTAAAATTGATTTTATAATGCATGTTAAAGAGACACTTTATGCATTGCTGATTTTTTTTATGGCAAACATATTTATAGTGAATATCATGCAACTTAATCAACAGAATTTGCAGTATTATTGCTGACTGTAATTTTGTATTGTAGAATACCCTGAAATGACCTACACAAGTCAAGGACATTTGAGTTTCCTTACAAGACATATGGACAAAGGAGAGTGGATTAAGCCCAGTAAACAACTCCTGAAATCTCCAATACATCTTGGCTCTGTAAGCAATGTTTTTATTCTGAAATGAAAGTTTATAGATTGAATATTAACAAAAAATGATTGGAAATTGATCAAGTGTTTGGTTTAGATAATAAAAGACATATTGAATATTTTGTCAGAAAAAGAAAGGCAATCCTAAACAGAGGTATTTTTTTTCAATCAAAGTGTTAAGACAGATACCATGTTTACCCCAGTATATTTACTCTGCACAGGCTTAAAATGAAATAAAAAGTAAAGGTATTTATCAGAAATGTATATTGTTGGTTATGTTGTTCAATCCTTGCAGTAATAAAACTTTTATACCCAAATTGCCATGTAATTAAGATAAAGGTTAAAAATATGACATCTCCAGGGAGTTTCTTCATGCTTTAATTACCAATTAGGAGTAGTCCTATGCAATTATTAAATTGCAGGTAAAACACAACCCAAAACATCTTAATGTGACAGAATGCAGAAGACACATAATTTCAAACTTGACTTGTATGGAAAATCAACCAGAACAAGGTTTGTTAAGTTTGTAGTGATGTTAAATGTTGAATTTAAAAAAAAAAAAAGGATTTGATATTGAAGATTTATAAAAGCTCTCAAAACTCAATTTATCTCAAATTTAGGATCTCCAGTATCTGGGTTATGTTTCCGTAACATTGTGAATCAACTCTTGGGGTTACCAGAGGAAGAAATTGTGAACATAGCTGATTTTTACTTCAATGTTTTGAAGCCAATGTAAGTTATTTTTTCAAAATCAGGTTGGTACATGTTGTAACTGAAAGTATTATTGTTGATATCAATTTCAAATAATCCACAGTGGGACAATTTTTTGGATTTTTTTAAAACTTCCCTTTTTTAACTGATGAAAAGATTCTAAATATCCAGGGTTTTTAAATATCGAAGAGCTATAGAGAATATGGTCGATGCTTTTGGAGCAATGAACACAGAACTATCTGAGAGACTACTGGTAGAGAAAGTTTTACTTAGTCCTACTCCCGATCACACCCTTGTCAAAAAGATTCTGACACATGTTGCAGTCAGTGACAGAGCCCCAACTGAGGTAAATTAAAAAAGAAAGACACTAAAGCCAGTTATTCCATGCACCCAGTTAAACTACATAGTACACCTTTGTAGCTCACCAGAGCCGAAGGCATATTTCAGTTATTAGATTTCTTCAAAAAAAATTTTGAGTAAGAATGCAGATTTTATATGTGTTGATAGAAGGATGAAGAAACTTGAGATGAAAAAGACTCCTATATAATTGTATACCGTTAGATTCTATAAATTAAACGTTAAAAGAAAGTTTTAGTATTTTGACCAGATGATTATCAGTTGCTTTATATTATACAGTAAGCATTTAAAATTGTAATAGAGAGCATAGTAGTTGAAATCAGGCTAATAGCAAAATGTTAGTTTTTTTTCTTGAAGCCAATCTTTCAACATCATGAACAGATACAATGAGTTAAATTTATAATGATTCAAAAATTTGCCTTAATAAAGCTGCAAATATGTTTTACAGTACATGTAACCTACATATTGAATGTTGTAAGCCAAACTCATTGCTGCTGATATATCAGTTATGTGACTAATAACAGAAATGATTTTTTTTTCTTGTACATGTATACAGTTTATGCTGAAAACAATTGAAGATGCTGTTATACACAAAGAGAAGTTTTCTGCAGCCTTTTACATTAATGATACACACAGTCGATGCATGTTGGCCCTAGGAGCTGTAAGCCATAAACTGTTTAAGGAAGGGCAAGTAGAGAGAGCAAGACAGATAATGAATTGGGTTCACTCAGCTCTTGGAGTGCATGGTAAGGCTGAATTAAATTAGTAATCATATATGAGTATAGTCCGAGAAATAATTTTGTGAGCAGGCTTACTGGCAGAATTACACCAAAAAGGGTTCCCACAAATAAAAAATGATTTTCAGAAAGAAAATAAATTGAATAATTTTGTTAGGTAGTTTTTGAGATTTTAAATAAGTTTTCCTGGGACACACCTCATGTTTAGTAGAATATTAAAAATCTGTCAAAGTAAGGTTTAAGAGCTAATGAAGTTCTAAATATTCATGGAAGTAGTTTTTATGAAAAAAACATCAAAGTATGCAGAGGGCAAATGTATGGTAGACTTTCCACAGAAATTGTGTTCTGCTTATTTCCTAATATAAAAATTTCAGACCCATGGATATACAGACAGAAGAGAGCTCTGATGTCAAGGAGGGAGATGGAGGACTATGACCACCATAAAGTGATCCTACTGGAGACCCTAGGGAATGCCAGGCTAGATGAATCCTATGACTACATTCTGTCTCATATCAACAGCACAAACTCACCATGGATAAAAAGGGCGGGGTGTCATGCCCTCCGCAAATACCACCATGAACATGTACGTATATAAATGCCAAAAAGTTGAAACCAGATTTTACTCTTGATATTTTAAATCAATAAATATCTGAAAGTTTTTTTGGTTCCATTGATATTGAAATAATGAGGTTTGACTGAATTGTATTGCTGCTTTGCATTGCTTTCAGTTAGCATTCTGTTGGCTAATGAAACTATTTTCATTTACAGATATTGTCTTTAAATGTACACCCAGTTTGTATGGAAATAATTGATGTACATGTATAAAGTTGGCTTTGAACTGCCAAGCGAAATTATTTTATCTTTTTTTTTGTATTTTTACTAGGGATGTCAACGAGTACCCGGTTAAGGAAGGGCAAGTAAGAGAGAGTCCGAGTATCGAATACTAAAATCAGTACTCGGTTACTCGGATGTATATTTTTGAATATTTCTTAGCTTATTTATTTATGCTTTAAACAATCTGTTTTAAAACGTAAAATGCTCATTGCACTTGTATATACAGTAATTAGGGTTTCCCACACCTCTAAATGACCGTTATCGCCTTTGGCAGTGTTTATATAGTAATTATCGTGACCAAGCACCTGTTGCCTGACTTTTCTCACCTTTGGCTGTCTTCCACCCTTATTTATGATTTGCTTTAATTGTTTGTTTTTTAAAGAACATCGTTTAAGGTCTGTTATGTTAAAAAATTAGATAATTTTGTCAATTCTCCGAGAAGCAGTAAGTTCTCGAAAAAGAGACAGATGATATTACACGTGCAATTGTTGATATGTTTGAGTCTGATTACACGCCAATACAAATGGTTGAATGCAAAGATTTTAAAAACTGATGGCGATCGTTGCACCAAACTACAAAATACTGTCCCGTAATGCTATAAAATATTGGAGTGAAAAAGTGTGCGAAAATCGTATATCCGCTCTGTTATGAGAACTCAAGATCAAGTCCAAGTTCAACTTGATTACGTAGCTGTGACGACTGATACCTGAACGTCAAATGCAACAAAAGAGTTACAATTATGGAACGAGTTTTTTTTTAAACAAAAATAGTGTGAACGTTTTATGATTTTAGTTCTTGTGTTTATCTGATATTTAAAAAAAATGTTATATTAAATTTTGTCTGGCACGAAGTGCTTATCATTGTTACGATAGAAATACATTTATGGGTAAACCTCCAATCAAAGCATGTGGTTTTATTTCTACAAGTCGAAGAGTTTACAATGTTTTACAGTCATCAATTTACTTGTTCATATTTATTTATACTTTTTACCGAGTACCCGGGTACTCGATCGGAAAAACGTCCGAGTAACCGAGTACTAAAAATTGACCGATTTGACATCCCGAATTTTTACAGATATTGAATTGTTTCTTTATTAAAAAAATTCAAACTAGATGATTAATATGTTTATGAAATGCTCATATTACAGCACACTAAAATTGTAATATTGCACAGATATTTGAATGAATTTTAAACAGTGAAAATGCACAAGTTTAACAGTTATTCAGTTTGATATTGGATATCTAGGCTGCTGAGACTCTGCTGTATTCAGCTCTATATGATGAGGAGCAGTCAGTCAGATATGAGGCCTCTCTCTTGTATATGGCTCATCCAAAGGGAAAGATGATTGCTCCTATGAATGCCAGGTAACTTTTAAAATTTATACAAAAAATGTCCAGTTCAAGATGTTAAGGATTAAAAAATTGTTTGCAGGAAATTGAGCAGTGAATGCTTTGTTTTGTGTCAGCATCCTTAGAATAAAACAAGACCATGCCAACCACTGGACCATTCTAGCAACAGGTTATGAAGTAGCTGATATACAACTTTTTGACTTAAAGACAAAATGGCAACTGGGAGAAATATTTTGATGGAGGGTCCAGCAAATTATGTATTGACCAAATCTTGGTAGAAATATTTGTTTAGCACCCCCACTTGCACTTGTATTGTCAGATTTATGTGCTGCCCTTGTATGAAAGAAAACTCCTTCGCATTATATTATTCTGTAAAGTCAGAGTTCAATGACTTTAAATCTGAAATTTTTCATGTTAGACCAATGACAGGTCCAATATCAAAATTCCTAGACTGCTTTCCTTCAGCATCAGATTTATTAGATTTAATCTAGTTTTTGTATAATAATAAATTGATAAGGGTATAGAAAGACCACATGATTGTTCAAGTCTAGACCTTTTCTATGATCATAGGTGTTTTGGATAGAAATACAATAAAACCATAACTCCATTACTGAACCTTGACCGGATATACTAAGCTTTACTAGACTGCACCCAATTTTATCAGAATCAATTATGCTAATCATTTCTATTTTTGAAGAGAAAAGACCCTGTTTGACAACTCAACATTTGTGGAGGACCCGTATGATGATGGCATTGATGTTGTGGATCTTGCGGGAAGTCACGAGCGGTCTCGTCGAAATGTTTGGGAGGGAATACGTTTTCGTTTAGAAGCTCCAAGTATAGACTGGAGAAAACTCATTGGCACTACAGCTATAGGTGCATCTTTTGGAGTAATCATGATGAACTTTCTGGATTTAGCTATAGGTATGTACTCTGAGGGAATGCTTATTCTTTAAAAAAACCCATTTAATAGGATGGGTAGAAGTTTAGAAAATAAGAAAAGTTTAACACCAGCATTTGAGACCTACATAAATTTATCACATATTTACCCCATTCTGTGGATATTTTGTGAAAAGGTTGTAAAATATAAACATTGATTGTGATGTAAAAACCATAGAATATAAAAAATCTTTGATTTTTTTTTGGATACAATTTTATCCAACAGATGTGTTGTTTTTTTCCCCTCAAGCTTTGGGATAAAAACCATACATTCAACTTGCTGGATAAAATTCAGATCCAACCACAAATCATTTGAGATCCTATACACGAAATTATTGGGGTTTTTTTTGTTTTTTTTTTTTTGCTTTGGCATAGCTCCAACCCAAGGTCATCTGAAGATCCGTGTTCATGATGAGGCATATGCAAGAATACATGTTGGAATAATTGGATCCAATTTTGATTTCTTTCTTGCCAGAGTATGTTTTAAGGGAGGCACTGAATACAATATAAACATTCTACAGGTATTAGATTTTACTTTAATATTTATTGAAACAGTTCTTATAGAATTCATTTAATTAGGGCATGTTAAGAATTTGCCAATATCCTATAATAATCACTCTGTCTGTTTGTCCATCTTCTGTCCTTCCAAAATCTATTTTTCCTAAAATGATTTTTTTTTTAATCATAATTTTGTTTAATTTAGATTTGATAAGATGTTTTTGTAGGCATTAAAATATATTTTTATACCAAGTCCAAATTCTGTTTGTCATAAAGAACTGAGGTAGAGGGGTGCATGTCATTCATTATGTAAGAGAAATAACTATTCCTACTGTAAACTGAAAGCTGCAGAGAACCCTTGGGAATTATTTTTATTGCCTGCTGCATAAAATCTAGTGCTTAAAATCTTTATCTTTACTTTTGAAATTAACTAACCTTTGTCTCTGCTAGTGATTTTTGGTTTAAGTTAAGGTCAGTTGGATGATGTTTGCTCTTGCTCCTACGAGATAGGTGGGGCTATATTTATCTTGTACTAAAAATGAATTAATGCTTTGAAAATTTTCCTTTTTGCTTCGAGATATTAGACAAATAGAGTACATGGTTTAGATGAGAATTTGTGAAATTCATAATTGTTTGGGTATATAATAATATTACCCACAAATATTCAAATCTGGTAATATTGTGATTTTCTATCTTGACTTCATAGTACACAGTTTTTATGAAGTGGTGACTAGGTATAAACTGAAAGTTTTTTTAGCTTATTTATTATTTTTCAGGGAAATGAAATGAAAAAAATTGTTGACATGGCACTTAATTTTTCAAAAAAATTGAGAGAAATTGTGAATGGCATTAAAACAGGAGTACAGCTGTTCAAGAATCTGATATCTGGCAATATCAATCTTAAAAAAATCACAGATGACCTTGTTGGTGCTCTTACAAGTATCCCCAGTAAGGTAAGTTAACTTTTAATTCGTTTCATCTCACCTTTAAGCAGGATAAGTTTGCAGGTACATGTATTGATACATCAGGAAAAACAAATTAAAAAAAAAAACGGAAAATATGGACAAAGGCCTATTTTACAAACGAATTTTCAGCTATGGCAAAAAACTTGAGGTTGTTAAATCTTACAAAATGAATTATTCTTTTTGATATAGCCTGTATAAATATTTCTTAATTCTTTTAAAATAACTAAAAGAAGTTCTTTAGTAATATAAAAAGAAATTTATTTGCTTAACTACATTTTGGCCTTATGATAGTTGTACATCTTTTATAAAACGGGGCCTAGGAGTGCTTATGTGTAGAAAAATTGTTGGCCAGGAATAAAATGCGTTTAATTCATTTAAAAAAAAAGATATTTTTCTAAAATTATTCCTTCCTAATTTTGCAGGTACAAAACTTGGTAAATAAATCAACAGAAGCCCTGGAAAAAATAGGACACTATGACCCTGAAGATCTGCCTCCAGAGTTCAAGCCTACCATTAACTTCGTGCATAAAGTCGCAAAGTTGTTTAGTGACATAAAAGCCGATGTGATGGGATTTGTACATGTAAATTTATCCAAAAAACCATTTAATCATTTTTGTAATTTACTGAAAGTTAATATACTTCCAGGTTATATGCATATAAAAGCCTCTGAAGTGACCATGTAAAATGTGTTTATATTTTCAGGCACTGGAACAACCTGTAAAAATTGTAATTCCACACCAGAGCAAAGTTTTGTATGAAAGCATAAAAGATATAATTGATGGCTTCTCAAAGATTTTAAAAAATCCTAAAACTGCTCTCAAAAGTATTGGAAAAGGCGTTGTCTCGTAAGAAATATCAGACTTTGATTAACATCTTTGTTTACAAGTTTTAATTTATTTAACAGTAGTTTTTTTTTTTTTAAATAATACATGCATGATCCTAGTATATCCTTTTTTATGGGAAAATGTAACAAAAACTCACTAATTTATTGTTGAAGAGTTGTCCTGATCAGTCCTTGTAAGGTTACTTTTAAAAATCATGTTCACATTGTCATATACTTTTATTTCGAGTTATAAACTTAAGCCAATTGTACCTTTTATTAACTATTATGCACATGCTTTGACGTGCACATAAATTGTTAATTTTTTTTAAAGCAGATTCAGAATATTGATACCAAATTCTTTTGTTTAAGAATTTTTCAGTCCATCAAAATTTTGATTCAACAGAAAGGGAAAATACAAGAAGCGTGCTTATTTATAAGAGGTAATATATTACAGAACTGCATGTGCTTTTAAAAGAAATAGATAAAATTAATGTCCTTTTAAAAGTGGGGAATATAAATACTTCAGTATGGGAAATAGAACTGACACATCCTAGAATGTAATTATTCTTTTAAGGGGTATTTTACATTTTTAGGTCATTGGTGTCAGGTGACCTACTGCTATCTGTTTTTGTTTGTTGTACATTAATACATAACAGACAAGCGCATGTAGTATAGATTCAATATTGTTCAAATCAATGGTGTATTTTACCTTTTTAGGTCACTTTTGTCACTCAGGTGACCTACTGATATCTGTTTTTGTCTGGATAAAAAGGACTCCATATTTACCACAACTTGTCATTCAAATGTTGATATGTTTGAAACAATATCTTCATTAATATAAAATTATCTTTGGGTCATTAAGAATAGCAGTACATAAGAAGTACACCCAGCCAGTTAAGACATGGCTGGTGGGTTTTGGTCAGGTCTAATGAAAGGACTATATATGATAAGAGCCAATTTTGGCCCCTTAAAAATCTACATTTCAGAATGATATTCAGATATGTTTAATTGATAATTATTTCGTAGAAGAGATTACATTAGATATATTTCCAATATATTTTTCACATTTATATACACTCACTGGCAGTAAATGACAACAGGAATACTGCTTTTTTAAAATCTAACCAAAAAAGCCGAAAATATGTCTTTTTCTTGATGCTTTTTCTTATGGAAAATATAGAGCGAAGTGTAGAACATGCATGATTTTTATGTCAGTAATTAGTATTGGATAGATACATCTTTGGTAAAAATCAAAAGTATGTTCTAGTCTGTGCTCAATATTTTCTGGAAGAAAAACTGCTTGAAAATAAGCAGTTGTATACAAAATAAGCTAAAATTGTGGGAAAACTTAAACTTTATGATGTCATATTTCTAAGTTAAGGGCATTTTGATCAAATTGAAAATGACCAATAAAGGTGGCATGTATAGCTGTACAAAGTAAAGCTATATACAAATTAAAAAGTAAGATATTCATTTTAAGGGACCATTTGAGACACTTATCATATATTACTCTTTATCAGAAGTAGCCTTACTGGTCGTCAGTGGTTGAGGATTCATAAAAATGTGAGGGATTGTTGGGTACATCACCATTGCTAGCATTGAATGGATTTCACATTCAAATAAACTCTTTTTTTTCCAGATGAAAAGCCATATTGGTTTGATGTTGAAAAATTACTGCTTGAATACAAGCCTCTAGCTGATGAAGCCTTTGCGAGTTTGAAAAGTGCTGGTGACAGATGGGTCAATGAGAAAATAGAGGATGCAGAGGACAGAGTCAAAAAATTTACAAAGGGTAGAGTTACACTGGTTAGTATTTATATTAAATGGAGTTTTATGATCATGCAATTATATCTTGCTGCTTAACAATCATGAAGGGATAAATTAATTGCCTGTTTGAATGTTGGTCTGTGAGAAAAAAAAATGGGCCATTAGAGGTCTTTAGGTGCAAATACATTGACACATCAAATTTCATTTTTGACTTTCTCAATCAAATGTGTTTATTTAATTTAATTAAATTGTTAAGGGATTGCTCAGAATACTGTAGAATAAATAAATTTGCTTAATCGTCACAGAGGGATCTTAGGCAGGAGGCAGTGCGTTCACTAGAAACTATCCGAGCACTTCTGATGAATCCATTTAATGATATAGTAGGATTGGCAGACAACTTTGTAAAACAATATTCCAACATGTTCGGACTGATTCAGAAGGTCAAAGATGCATATACCGTATTGAAAGAAGGGTAACCTCTATTACTATTCCATACCTTTGAAGTTTTAAAAAGTACTACATATTGATAAGTATAACTGTTCAGAAGACCTGAAGAAATGAATTAAAGGCATAATTTCAATTTTATTGTTTTAGGTATGATACAGCGAGAGGTATAATTGATGCCATATTTGGACCAAAAGTACACAAAAATTTTCCAAAGAATCGCCGGTTGAAGGGTAGTGGATGTGGCAGTGGATTTTATCCATCTTCCTTAGGATACAAACATGAAGGACTTGATCTGGTTGTATCGAAAGGAGATGAGGTAAATAACAAAAAGCTCTTGTTTTACAATTCACTACAAGAAACAAACCTTTACAATAAAAAATTATGTATTATCATTACTTAGAAGTAAATAAATTGATTCTGTATTGATACATGGATATCACAGTGCCCCATATCAATGTCCGAAAACCCATGGGTGTTGTCATAGAAAGGGATATTTTAAAATGTAGGGGAGACATTTATTCGTTCACAATATCTCCGCAATTCTTGATATCCCAAATGGACATTACATCAAAGTCTGTCCTCGTAATTAAAAATGTCCAATTTAAGAAAGTTCCTGTTACTTTCAGAGAAATTGAAACACTATTTTTTTTTTAGTTTTCTTGCATAATGGCTCGATTTCTTACATGTAAACAGTATGTCTGTTGTTTGTTTTTGTCTCGTCTCCAGAAAAAAAAAAATTTTTACAAAGTTACCTACAAACCTTTGGATCAACCCTTGTATATGCCATATGATATGGATTTTTTATGTAATACTTTCTTTATATAAAGGAATAAACTGAAGTATAATTGATTTCATTTCATGTTGTAGATTGTAGCCCCATTTGGTGGTTCTGTAACTGTGGATAGAGAGGACTCTAACACTGTTATCATCAGTTCAGAAGGAGGGTCTCTTCGAGGAATCACAATCTATATAACCAACATAGAACCCAAATCCATCATTGACACAGACGAGGGCAGATCAGTAATTATTAAATATATCCCTGCTCTATAGGAGAGTTGGGTATACTGTTTTACCTTGTGTTTCTGTCTGTCCATCCATGTGTTTGTGCATAACAAATTTTTGTCACACTTTTCTCAACAACTACTCATCACAGATACTTGAAATTTTAGCACATTCTTTGTTTAGGCATGCCATATGGTTTTTGTTCAAATTAGATGTCAACATCCTGTTTATCCATGTGTCTATCTGTACCAAATTTTCCTCAGTTTTCTCAGCAACTTCTCATTGGAGATGAATGAAATTTTAGCACAATCTTTGTTACCACTCATGCATGCCATATACTTTTGTTTGAGTCTGATGTCAACTTTTTGACATCTCTGTGTCTGTCTGTACCAAATTTTTGTTAGAAATTTTTGTTAGTTTCCTAGAAAATTCTCATTGCAAATTGCACATAGGGTACATGTATCTCATTTATCTGGGTAACTCCTCTCACAGCTTCCAAGATCCAAGATAGAAATTTGTTTTCAGCAGATCAATTGTACATACATGTATATCAGTGATCTGCTTTTAAATTTTAATTGATATTAATTTCTGATAATTTATATGAAAAATACCAACTGTTAAACTTCGTCACTTTTAGGTCACCTGAGTATAGTAGAATTTCTAAATTTCAAATCATGGCCCCTTGGGGGGGGATCAAATTTTACATTCAATATAAGGGAAATAACTTTAAAAATCTTATTCTCAAGTACAACTGGACCAGAGAAGGTGAAATTTATGGAAGCTTCATGAGGTATTGAAGATTCTCAATCATAATTATTTTGACTCCTGGGGATAGGGTGGGGTTACAATAAGTATTACATAGGGGGGAATATGAATAACAGAAAGGCAAATGTTACTCAGATGAGTGTTGTGGCCCATTGGCCTTTCGTTTCCTATTAATACATAGATAATTTCAATGAAGGATTGAAATTATCTTTTAGTTAGTTGTTAATGCAATATTTTTATGCATAATTGAGAAAATACACATCCTACACTACCTAATGAACAGTTGGAAGGCATTCATATCGTACTGACATATTTCTAGTGTTGCTTAATATTGGGATGGAATTAAATGACTGAAAAAAAAATTATTGTAGGTGTTGTTCTGTACATTTTATATGTATTGTTATAATGGATGTTGTTCTTTATAAAATAGGTTCACCCTCTTCTTTCTTATTTAGTTTGCAGCGGGTCAACCAATTGGTACAGCAACTGGTTCTGACTGTGAGAATCACATTCATTTAGCATTTAGAAAGGATGGAGGCAGTTATGTGGATCCTACCAAGTATCTTGAGTCAATAATTCCTGTTATGCCTGTGTGGAAGCAGATCTGTGATGATTACAAACTTGTTTTCAAGGTAATTCAAGTATACCCAAATGAAAAAAAGGGGGAAACAAAATACTATAACAAACTACTTACAAAACATATGTTTTGAAAGTGTTTTGATAGTATAGCAAATCACATGCAAATAATAACAAAACACTATAACAAGTTACTTTTAACAAATAACAAAACGCTTTGGTAACAAACTACTAACAAAACACTGTGTTTTGATGTATTCCAGATGAAAATCACATGCAAATGAGGCTAACAAAACACTCTGCAAAATACTAACAAAGCATAAGTAACAAATCATCAATAAACCACTAAATTTGAATTTTTAAAATTATAATAGCAAATTCACAAGTCTTTGAAAACATCTAAACACAGTCTCATATTGAATGTTGAACCTATCATTTTGAAATTCAACATGCCAGAATTCCAGGTTTGACATTATTGTTCAACAATAGCACACCACCATTTTTTCAACTTCACTCTCTTATATTTCTCTGCAGTGAAATCCTTTGGTGTAAGAGATATGTTCTCAATCCATTGACCATTTCACCATTCACATACATTTTCACAGAATTGAGTATATAATTATAATTCATTTAACCCAGTGCTTAAAACTGATCTAAGCTGGGTAGTATACCTAAAGGTCAATCTTAAAATGAACAAAAACCCAATAAAAACAGGCCATATACACATCCACATTCACAGATTGAAGGTTTAACTGTAGTCCAGTTTAAAAGAACTTTATGTCATGCAATAAATAAATACCTCTGTTATATCCAGATTCATCCTGATTTTGCTTTTTCCAATCAGGGATCAATATATATACTAACACTTTACATGTCCCTTCACCAATCTCTATGTTTCTCTCTGACCTAGTGCTGGTGGTTTGAAAATTGGCGCAAAACTAGTAACACAGGATATGAAAAATAGATAAGTTGTTCTTGGAAGATTTTTTCTTAGATAAGTCAACCCTTAACATGTCTGTTAATCAAATGAAATGCTAACAAAATATTAATTTGATGCGGACAAGTATAATGAAACACTTTCAAAATGCAATTTCATTCTGCAGAGTGTAATGAAACATTAATAAAACACCAACATTGTAATGAAACATTAACAAAATACCATGCCACCCCATCCTGTAAAGTATGGCATTGATGTTTCGTTAAATGCAACACTTTCAAAACATACTAAGAAAATATAAAAGTATGATTTGGTAGTGTTTTGAAGATATTTTGAAAGTATTTTGTTAGATTTCTTTTTCATTTGGGTATTTAATGTCCTTAATAGCTAAGTACTTTTAATAACGAATTGGTGCAGTCATATGTAAGATGTATAGTGCAAATTGATACCAATAATAATCAAAGATAGAATTTAATGTTGAACCTATCAGTGCCAGATGCAACTCCCACCTGTGAAACTTTTTTTCTTCTCGTAATGTTTTTAGATCACCTGAGTAAACTCAGTAAACTGAGTAAACTCAGGTGACCTATTGCTATCCGTTTTCGTCCGTCGTTGTGCATCGTGTGTTAACATTTAAGGGGATGAAGGATGTATGCATATGATCACGTGACTCAGTTGATTTACGTCATAATCTCTGATAAAATATGTACAAAACGAGATTGAAACCACAGTACTTGTATAATTTTTTTGACTGTTTGTTTGCGTTCACCATCTAGTATAAAAATATCTGAAAACTGCATTCAAAATTTCTTGCAAATATTATCAAATTATGGAATAGATTAATCCACTCTGCCGTTTCCCTACTCTGCGCGTCCAGTGCATCTTTGACGTCATAGTGGATGAAGTTCAGTAAGATCATACACGGTAAAAACGGGTAGTATAAAATCATAAAAACAGGCCATAATATGTACATGGTAGGGTATTTTGAAAAAATTTCAGAACGCAAAAAATATTTTTACATGGTTGTTGACAGAAAAGTTCTGTGGGTTTGTCTTATTCCGCTTATTTCAGGAATGTGTGACGTCATAGTTGGGTTTTCCCGTACTCAAGAAGTGTAAACATGACACGTTTTTCTCATGATCATGACTCGTTTAACTTTGCCCCGTGCAATATTAAGCTCAGCTTCATCAATCGATATTTTTACAGTTAATCAATACAATGACGACCTTGAACTTCGACGTAAATTTTCAAATATTGAAGGATAGGATTTTTTGCAAATTAATTTTTCTATGGTTTAAGTTGTCCTAAAAAAGTCGTAAATTTCCGTCTCCAGATATGGTGTTACAAAAGAATCTTGCTTTTTCGAATTTTAACCCTATTCATACTCTAAAATATTTTAAAAGACACATTTCCGCCGGTATATTTTTTATCTATGCTGAAAAATTTCAATTATCAACCGAGTAATGGACCCAGAAACACGGAGAATAAAAACTCCACTCAGACACTGTGGAGTATGATATTTGTCACTCAATATCTCAGAAATAAGTCTAGAAACCTATTGATATGTCTGCTTTATAGTATGTAGGACATACTAAATAAGATATATACAAAATATGACAAAAATTAAATGACAGGTATTTTTTCAGCTAAAGGTCCTTTATCCCCTTAAACATTTTCAGCTTCTCTAAAACAGCTGAACCAATTTCAACCAATTTTGGCATATAGCATCTGTGGTGAAGGCAAACAAAAATTGTGAATTTCATGGTCCCTGCCCCCCTGGGGGTGAGGCCAAAACCACTAAAATTAGTGCAATCTTTAAAAATCTTCATCTTTACTCCTGGACATCAAGCAGTCAAACTGTTGGTATGATTATAATCAGTATTGAGTCCTCTACCAAAATTGTGAAATTCATGGCCCCAGGGTCAGGGGTTCTAGTGCTAGGGCGGGGCTATATTGATAATATAGTGAAAATGCATTACTGTAAATCACTTTTTATTTGCGAGAACTTTATTTTCGCGTAATTATGTGAGACAGTGTGCTCGCAAAAATTTAATTCTCGCGTACAATAGTATTCCTTAAGTTTATATAGAGTAATAACCACAATTCACGAATATTTTGTATCGCTAATCAAGAGTCAATTACTGTCTCCCAAAAATAAGGTGTCGCGAAAATTTTATGATCTACAGTATTTCTTTGAAAATCTATTTCTCTGCTCCTGGGTATTAAATAAACTAACTAAGTACATAGTTATAAAGAGCAAGAGTGTCTCTACCAAAATTGTGAATTTTATGGCCTCAGAGTCAGGGGTTGTGGTGTTAGGGCGGGACTTTATTGATTATATAGTGAAAATGCATTAATTCTTTGAAAATCTTTTCTGCTTTTGGCTATTAAATGAACTAATTAAGTACATAGTTGTGATGAGCAAGAGTGCCTCTACCAAAATTTTGAATTTTATGGCCCCAGGGTCAGGGGTTATGGTGTTGACTTCATGTGTGTGTAAAGGTGTTTGCAAGGTTATTTTACCATGGATATAAATCATAAATTATATAATTTAGCAGTTAAAAAAAAAATTAAGGAGTTAACTTATTACCAGGGTATCTTATATCATCATTTCCTTAAATATATATTTTGCACAGGCCATTTTATATCTCATGTACAGTAATTGTATTTATTATAGTTTGAGACCATAGCTGCTGGGGTCATAGTTGGCTTGGGTGGTGAAGATCCACAAAACAAAGATCCTACCCTTACCAACACAGAAGAAGCTTTCCCGATTGAAATACCTGATAACAGTCAAGACCCAGATGACACAAAGGAAATCAAATGTAAGATGTTCAATTAAGGAATGTTTTCAAGTTTTGTGTGAGTTATTGGTGTGTGAATCACACAGACTTGTCACGTAGGCATATTTCATGAAGCGCGCTAGCGCTTCATGAAAAATATGCTTACGTGCAAGTCTGTGTGATTCTCACACCAATAATTCACACTAAACTTAAAAACATTCCTTATATTTACATTTTACAAGTTTGGAAGCACCCAAATTATATTCAATATTTGAATTTCTCGCTGCCCTATATCGTTATACATTTACTAACGTCACTGTAGCCTTATTGTGACGTCACATTAACCCATTTCTCCGTGTATATTTCTACGCGTGAGTATACACGAAAATGGTATTCAAATCAATTTCACAGTTGGCTTACTAGAAAAACACAGCAAATGTAAATATAATAAAATGAAGGGCCACAAGTGCACCCTCTTTCAAGAGGGAGATAATTATGAAATAGTGAAAATTTGGCGACATGTTTTTAATATCTTCTTCCAAAGAACCACTGCGTTGGGAAAGATGAAACTTCATTTGTTACTGTATGAAACAATGATATCCAAATAAATTTTATGTAATATTTAATTCATTATTGTCATTAATCAAGGCATAATATCGCATCAAATGATATTTAAGCACTGATACTGATATTTCAGGACTCATGCTTATTATCACCTAATTTAAACATCAGTTTCAAAGTTATATCATAAAAAAATTTGATGCATTATCCAGCTCAGCCAGATGGCCTTTACAGCAAAGTACACTCTAGATTAAGCAGTGCCCTAGATTTTGAGACAGATGACAACAAGTGTACTGCCATCATGAATGGTGGCACCTCCATTAACAAAAGATCTACTTCCTTTGAAAAAGGTACTTTAATGTTACAGTTTCAGTCTCAAGGTACCGTATAAGTGGAAATTTTAGCGAGATGCAAATTTAGCGATTTCTACCTAAAATCTGGTATTTTATTTTTAGCAAGAAGTAATTTTGGCAATTTTAAAAAGAAGCTATTACAAATAATATGCAAGTAATTTTTAGCGATATTCAATTTTAGGGAAGTCAGCACCCTCGCTAATAATGCCAAAATTAAATCTTTGCTAAAATTTCTACTTCTACGGTATTTTATTTTGATTTATATTAAATATGTATAGAATAACTTTTACATTTTATTAATATTTTATGATATTTTCTTGAACTGGTTTAAAGAATGGTTTTGTTGCAGGGGGATTCTCAAAATTATTAAAGACAGCGGACAAATTTTTGGAGAAATTTAACATAAGACGTTTGAAGTTTGGCACAACAATGGCATTTTTAGACAGATTTAGTATGGAACAAAGCAAGAGTGCTTTGGGAAAGTTGATGAAAGAAATTAAGGTAACTATGCAAAATCTATCTTTCGAGATGAAAAATTTGAATAAGAATCATATCAACTAAAATGCTTTCAGTGTAATTTATAGCTTTCTATGTGCAGGATTGCCAATAAGACCCAGTAGTTGGTCAATTTTCCTGCCTAAAGTGGCATTAAAGTGGTAATACTGGTATTCTTAGAGAAAGAGGATATCAAGTTAATTAAATAAAGGAACATGCCCTCTTTCATGGGGAGAAAATTTCAGGGCATCTTTCAAAAATCTTCTCACCAAGAACCAGTTAGCCCCAAAATTTAAGCTTAAACGAAAGCTATTACATTATAGACTAATTCTAGTTAGTTTAAAAAAAATATCCTAAGGTTTAGGGTTAGGTCATAATGGGTGTTCCAAGTTACACAAAGGAAAAATCTTGTAAAGTGTTCTTCTCAAGAAAAGCAAAATGATGATTATGACTAGTCATATTTCTATGGAAGCATTATCAGTTTATGTACATTTGAACATGTTAAAGACCATGACCATGGTAGATGGGGCCACCATGGACAATCCAAGTTTTACTTGGGAGTATGAGGGGAAGATTGTGACTCATATGGCTCTTGTTTAGTTGATGATACAATATGCTTCATAATAGTTTATGTTTAATTTAGGATATCATAGACAACACACCTTGTAGAAATCCTTATGAGATGACAGAAGATCAGCTGGTAAATGAATTGACAGAGAGGGGTAAAGACACAAAAGGATCCAGAGAACAGCTGATTGAAAGACTGGTGCAGTTAGATAAAGGTTATATATAGTTTTTTTTTTTTAATTTAAGAGGCAATATATTTATGTTAGAAAAATAAATACCATGACTTTTGTAGTTTTAGTGCTTATATGCTGTTTAGGTTCATATGGCATTATGTTTTTTTAGAGTGCCCTTTGCTGTCCTTTACCATGCCAAAGAGTAATGTCTACTGCACCTTTGACAGCATGTGTCTAGGACTGGAATGTTGCATTAACCTAAAGATTGCCATATTCCAGAAAGTTTTCAAAGTGTGGGCACGTTTTGATCCTTGTAATTCTCCAGAAATGTTGTTCACATTGGGTTTGGATTCATACAAATATGAAATTGAAATTTCAGCCAGTAGCAGTTATGATGGTATGTACTCCAGATCAATATTTAAAACAATTGGCTATCCACTTGTGTAACAAAAAGAAAACAATAGTTGGATGCAAAAAGAAAATCTCAATATTGAATTGAATTGCATGGAAAGGGTGGAATGAAGAGTTTTACCCATGTCAATCAGTCTATCCAAGTTCTGGAATAAAGCAGCTTTCTTGTACAGAGTTGCTGCATGTAAAAAGCTAAAAAGTGCTTTAGAGTTGTGTTCTTTTTAGCTCTACTGGTCAGAGACCAGAAGAGCTTATGCAATAGTAATGCGTCCGGCGTCCGTCCGTCTGTCTGTCTGTCCGTCTGTAAACAATTTTTCAAAACGCTACTCCTCCTACAATTTTAGTCTGATTTCAATATAACTTGGCACACAAGTAGACTACACTAAGATACATAAAATAGTGCATGGGTTTTTAATTTTGATGAACGGTGTTGCCATGGTTACTAAAAATAGAATTTTCTGTGAAATTCCTTTAAAACGCTACTCCTTCCACAGTTTTGGTCTGACTTCAATATAACTTGGCACACAAGTAGACTACACTAAGATACATAGAATAGTGCATCGGTTTTTAATTTCGGTGAACGATGTTGCCATGGTTACTAAAAATAGAATTTTCTGTGAAATTCCTTTAAAACACTAGTTTTGATCTGATTTCAATATTACTTGGCACACAAGTAGGCTACACTAAGATACATAGAATAGTGCATCGGTTTTTGATTTCAATGAATGGTGTTGCCATGGTTACTATAAATAGAATTTTCTGTGAAATTCCATAAAAACGCTACTCCTTCTATAGTTTTGGTCTGATTTTAATATAACTTGGCACACAAGTAGACTACACTAAGATACATAGAATAGTGCATCGGTTTTTAATTCCGATGAATGATGTTGCCATGGTTACTAAAAATAGAATTTTCTGTGAAATTCCTTTAAAACGCTACTACTTCTACAGATTTGGTCTGATTTCAATACAACTTGGCACACAAGTAGACTACCCTAAGATACATAGAATAGTGTATCGGTTTCTGATTTCGATGAAAGGTGTTACCATGGTTACTAAAAATAGAATTTTCTGTGAAATTCCTTAAAAACGCTACTCCTTCTACAGTTATAGTTTGATTTCAAAATAAGTTGGCACACAAGTAGACTACACACAGATACATAAAATAGTGCAATGGTTTTTGATAAGTACATAGCCAGTAGAGCTACAGTCTTGACAGAGACTTCTGGTTTCTTATCAAGTTTAATGATCAAGGTACATTTATATAATTAGACCACTCCTAACCATATTTGATCACAGGTCTTCAATTTTGAAATTGTAACAGACACTAAACTTAAAACATTCAGATATATCAAGTTCTTTTAACCTTTAGGATATGAAGGAGAATTGAAATCAGGAAATAAACTGAATATACGTGGTGGAGTAGAGATGGTCATCAGGTAATCAGCATTAATCATGCAGCAGCTTATTGTACACTAAAAAAATGTCACTGACATTAAAATTCAAAACATCAAACAGAGTACTTTGTGATTTTGGAATGAAATTTTGACTTGCTCAGTGATACCTTATTTGCAGTTAAAATTTTTTGAATTGTTGTAAGTATAAAGTTTAACATGTATTTGAATATTATAACTCAAGTTTTGGAAATTATATCTTGTTCCATATAAAGTGTTTCTTTTAAAGTTTGTGATTACTATGGCATTAAATAAAAAAGTTGTTATCTATATTTTCTTTAAAATAAAAACCTGGAATTCCTGATCTTATTAATGAGCATTCTTCTTTTTCTTACAGATATAACATTTTCAAGGGCACTAATGCCACTTTGGCAACATTTGGAGTTGGACTGTGTAGCTTTAATGATTCAGAAAATTGTTTAGTGTTTATTAACTTGTTGGACAATGCTGTTCTACCTGTACCCACCTGTTTACCTGATGGATCATTTGTGTGGCCTAAATGTACGTATTTCAATGACCTGCTTTTATGTTACAAATGAAATACAGGAAAAAATATTGCAGTTGGCAGGTTAAGAAGGGCAGACTCATATTATTACTTGTTAAGTTTTTTACAGGCTGTTTTGTTTAGATTACATTTTAAGGGATATCAAAAAGCTCTTGGACTGATGAACCGATAAATTATAAAGAATATAAAGCAACAAAAGTATATCAAGTATACATATTATTATGGTAAACTACAATTAAAAGTGGCCATTGAGTTTCATGATGTTTGATAATCTCAATGTTTCTAAATGTCTCCTCCCTCTGCATTAGATTCTCTGATGTTGAGTGCTGATTAAAATCCATCTTGTTGATATGAAATTTAAATTTAATGAACAGCTGATTTCAGAACAGGATAAATGGATGTATAATGAAAAAGATTCTCTGTTGAATTGTCTAAACTTACACTTGGGTTCATTTTCTCCTCCATGGCATGGCTGTGTCATGAACTATAATTGAACTATAAATTGTGGCAAAGAGAAAAATACAAACTCACATTTCTGGAGTAATTTGAAATTTTTATCCACTTCTCTTATGAAAAATGTTTGCTAGGTGGAAAGACACCATATTTGAAGCACCCAACAATAAATCTAAATGTAAATTAATAACCATGATTTGGGCATTTTATGATATATGTTGTATCTCAAGTAACAAATATCAAGAAGATGCAATTTATTTGCCATAATTGTTATATACGGTAGTTACAAAATTTAAATTATTTTTGCTCTTTTAGTGGATTTAAAAAAGCTCTTCATGAGAGAATCACTGTATAAACAAATCAAGAAACAAGGAAAATCTGTCATCAAACAAGTAACCTCACAGCTAACAGATGAGTTCCTGAAGTTGTTGAAAATACCAAAGGTTAGTTTTACTCATTACAAAATTGATGAGTTGCTTTCTGATGGAAAGAAACAAACTGATGAAACATGAAAACAAAAAAGTTATCTAATTTATAGCTGTAATATTTTCTAAACCAACAACAAAAAATGCTTAAGCTTATTTTTTTAGCAGTTTCAGAAACACAGAGAGGAATTTCTATTTTCATGTTGTTTAAGTAACAGAAGTATTTCTGAGCTTGGCTGAACCAAGAGGTCATGTGCGCTTTTATGATCACTTTTTTTCTGTCATCCATCAATTTCTTCATCCATCTGTCTATAAACTTTTCACATTTTCAATTTCTTCTCAGGAACCACAGGTCTAATTTTAATCAAAGATAGGGTCATTAAAAAATCTTCTGGAAAACCACTCGGCCAAAAAAGCTGAAAAATGTAAAAGCTTCTGGGTGAAGTGTAGATTCTAAATTATTCGAATTGTGATAGAGTGGAGACACAGTAGGGAATCAAAGTTTTACATTAAAATATTTAGGAAAAATCTTGAAGAATCTTCTTGTAAAGAACCACTTGGTCAGAAATGCTGAAATTTATGTGGAAGCCTTATTGGATAGTGTAGATACTTAATTTTTCAAATTATGGTCCTGGGGGGTAGGGTGGGTTCATAAGAATTACAGTGGGGGATCTGGTGAAGAACAGCAGGGTCAGAGTTACTCAGCTATTATGACCCATGGACCTCTTGTTTGACTTCTCAAGAACTACCTTGGCCAATTTCAAATCAACTTTGTCACAAAGCATACTGGTTACAGGGGATTCATTTTTTTATGAAATAAGGGACAAGCCTCTTTGAAAAGAGAAGATAATTCAGTGAAAATTGGTTCAGATCGATGGTACATGTAAATGTTTCTGGAGAATCACAATTGTGATACTGTAAACAAGCCAGTTTGTATGCTTCTTATTCTCAATGTCTTACTTTTCTTAAAGGACAAACTGAATGAGGATGTCCCCTTGCCTAAGCCTGAGAAAATGACCCTGGGCCAGATTACATCAGAGCTGGAAAACAGAAACTTACCTACAACTGGTTCTAGACCAGATCTCAATGAGCGTCTTACAATGGATGATCTAAGTAAGAATAAAAGCATCTTAATATTGTTAATTTACTTCCGTAATTTATATACCACTTCAATAAGTTTGATTTGATTATGTTTGATTTTTATATCTTTTTTTAAAATGTAAAAATGTATATTTAAGGGGTGTCTTAAATTAGACCACAATAGTGCTATCATTTTTTTTTAAATTTAAATTTCAGTGTGTGTCAACTTTACTCTAGACAGAAAAAGCTTGTCAGATGTCCTGTACTATAAAATTCAGAAGGACTGTCTGAGGATAGATGTTTGGGCAGAAATTAATTTGAAACTACTTGGTTACTCCTTTAGTAAAACCCTCTCAGCTTTCATAGAGTTGGATCCATGCAGTTTTGTTTTCCAAATTGGATTTGAAAAATTCTTGTGGACAAAAGTTATATTAAATTACAACTGGGGTAATAACTTCAATAAAGCTTGAAGGAGTTTAATTAACTTTGCAGTTTATTTCATATTTCATTATAGCGTCACTACAGCATGTAGTTTACAAATATCCAAAATACCTTCTTGATACAAAACATATTGTTTGTGTTGCACAATGTCATCAAAAAATGATACCTTATATTAGACAGTATTATTAGTCAACAAATTTCTAACAAAGTCTTGAATCTTTTTCCACTTTTACATAAATATGATAAATGAAATGTGTTGTATGATTACAGGGACAGATGAACTTGCAGAAATCAGTTCAAATGTAAAAATCAAGTGAGTTTTTTAAAAACAAGTAGAGAAAAATTTTTGTCGATGGAGATTTTCTTTTTTTGAATATTACTTACATGTACATTAACAAAGCATCTTCATTTAATATTTATCATTTCAATGTAGATACAACATCGACAGAGATTTAAATAAAGGAATATTCATTTTGAATTTTGGGCTCTTGATTTGCTTGTCCCCACCATTGGATTGCATTGTAGAAGGGTATCAGCTGACAGATGTAATGATTCCTATACCTCTTTGTGGAAACTTTACTTTTCCAGGTACATATATCTCCACTGTGATTGGGAGATATGAATTTTCCTTTAAAAATTACCTTAGAGTTTTGATTGAACTCCTTTTTACAAATTGTCTTAATTTTCACATTTTCATAAAAATTATAGTAAACAGGGATCTGTTAAGAGAGGGGCTGACAATAAATTGGTTTCATTCTCTTTTTATCAGGTAATGGCTCATTTGCTGGATTATTGGAAAAAATTGGAGGAAAGATGACTGAGGAAGCCTTTGAACTCATCCTTAAAAAATTTGAATTGAATGTAAGCATATATCATTCATAATGACATATTTAAGGAATGCCATATCATAAATGAGAAGAAAGATGTAATGGCTGTTTTTGAGTATGTAATGGGTAGATTTTATGTCAGAGCAATTTTTTGTTGCAGGATGTAATAACTTCAGGACTTTGTCCTGACATTCCATCAACCCCAGAAGGTAAGGAGTAAAATTTGTTCTTTCCATTCCTTTCAACATAAATGTATAAGCAGAATTTTTAGAGAGGATTTAATTTTGGTATTATTAGCAAGAGGCTAGGATCGCTTAAATTGAATAGCACTAAAAATAGATTGTGTTTTATTTGTAATAGTTTCTTCCTATTAAGCATTTTAAAATTGATAAATTTTTATCTTGCTAAAAATAAAATACTAATTTTAAGATCAAATCGCTAAATTTTGTGTCAAGCTAAAATTTTGGTTTGTACGTTATTTGACAAGGATGTCTGTTTTTATTGGTCTTTTCCTTTATTTTACAATTCCCTTTTCATTGAATTCAATTAGAGTATGGTTTTATTTATGAGTTAAAGATGCACCAAGGTTTTGAATAAAAGGTAATTCCAAGAATTTGAGCCAATAGAACTTCATTAGTTGAAATTTCACACAGACATTGATAATCATTCAATACATTTGAATTTCAATTATTTTGTTACCTGTGTCTGAAGGGTATGGATTTATGATATATAATCTTGAATGAATGGCTAAATTTCATCAGATTCAGCTCTTCACTGTTGGAGTTTACATTTAATTATTGTTCAAATCTAACATTATAAAACATTTTCTGATTCTTATTGTAGATTGTCCAACTGAGTTTGATGTGCGAAAGAATTTACCAGAAGAGCTGAAGGAGATGGTAACATGTGAACAGCCTCCTAACTGCTGGGGAATTGACTGTTGTCTTCAGCTGACTTTCAACATACCCCTGGGAGACACCAAAATAACCAAGAACATCCCATTCTGGTTCAAGTTAGACCCATGTGATTTCTCCTTAGACATTGCTTTTGGAAAGAAGACTCTTCTTAAAACACATTTGTTGGAATATGAGTATGGTATGTTAAATGTTAGGCTATCTAAATTTAATTCCCTGGTTCTCAGGCCAATTTTCTCCAAAACAGATGCGGGAGGGCGGCATTTTATTTTTCATTTTATTGGCAATAAAGTAGATGAGGGAGATATTTTTTTTATTTTAATTTCCGAATTTTCTTTAACATAAAGATAATTTTTTTAATCACAGATATACTTTCCATTTCTGGTCAAAATTTCTGCTTTATCCATTGCTTAACAGCGTGTAAACATCGTAGGTAAAATGTATTTTCAAACGAAGTAGCCAAAATCTCATTGTAAATGGCTACCGGAAGTGATATTTGAATTTAAACTACAAAACAAATGAGGTCGGAATTTTTTTTCCCGGATTGGTATCCGCGATACCAACTTTTTATTTTATCAAAAATACAATAAAATCGGCAATGCGGCTACCTCAAAACGGATGCGCGCGGGCCTGAGAACCAAGATTTCAATTTTATATGGCCTTACTGTAATATTTTTTTTAAGTGTTAGGCTCAAAGCTTAGAAAATCCTTCTTTGAAAGAAATATTCACATTTATGCAGTTTTGAATTTTTCTTTTTTTTTTGAGTATTCAAAAATGTGACTTTTTAGGGGGGAAAATTTTTTACTGGTTATGCTATTTTATCAGCTTAATTACGACCACAAATTTAAAATGTACTAAATAATATATGTTTTACTGAGTAATGAAACATTTTCTTTAATTAGTATATATAATTTAAGGATTTAAAATTTATTTACAGCTTAATTGTTAAATATACTGAACTTTAATTTAATAACTAATGTTTAATTTTAGGAAAGCAACACACTCTGTCACTTGGTTCAGGAAACCCATCTCCAGTAGAAATTTTGTAAGTTAAATAATATATAAGGCAAATTTTTTGTGTAGTTTTGTGCAAAAAACATTGGGCAAACTATGCTTTTTAGTCAGAAATTATTAAAAAGTGCGCACTTATATTCATAAGATATTTATTACATTAAAAGAAAAGTGATGTACCGTCATTACCATAGGAGGTTATACATGTATATTATTTTTGTTAATTTTTAAATTTATAGATACAGAATTGATCAAATAGAAGGAAACAAAGGCTTTATTGTGGATGTAAAAATACTAATTTGTTTTGACTTCGATGGCATGGCATCATGTATTCCAACAAGTGATGGTCTTCATCTATTGAAAAACCAGGAAATCCCTCTTTGTGACCAGACACATTTGATTGATTTTAGCAGTGAGTATTGAGATAAATCTATAGAGATCCAATATTATGTTAAAAGTGATTTTTCACTTTCAAGTTTATCAATTCATGAAAATTGGCCTTCACAAGTACAAAAGATTAAGAACTATGATTTTTTCAATAATGATTTATAATTGGATATTCTTGATTTTCATGATTAGTCTTTATTAAGTGGAATATAATTCAGGTTGCTATTTATATCAATTAAGGTTTGTCATGTTCTATGTTCTTTTTTGTTGAAGATTTCTCATTGACTGATTGGATGAGGGAGAAGTCATTGAATCTCAATGAACAGCTGTCAGAGGGCGCTGTGATGTTACTGCTGGACCAGCTTAATCTGACTGACTTCTTCCAAAGACCCAAATGTGACAGAACCAGGATGCCATACATACCCTCTATACAAGGGATCCATAATGGTACACATGCCTTTTGGAAAGTCTATAAACATACAATCAGCTAAGCCTTGCAAGATTTTGGTGGGAAAAATCCTTTGAAATCTTGTGTGCATTCTAAAACAATGGTAAAAATAGTACAGTGTGTTAAATATTCAAGCTAAGGTCCTCAAAATATTTAGAAATCTTCTATTAATAGAAAGCTGTAGTGGGTAACTATTCAAATCAATATGCAAGCATCCTTATATGATACAGGTATGTTCCATTCAAGGACTGAGGATGTGATGGTATGTATACACAACTAGAGCTGAAACGAATACCATAAATCAACATTCGAATATTCGTGACTGTTATTCGATTCGTATTCGAACATTCGGTTATTAAATAAAAGAGTTATTATGCCTTTTCACATACTTGCAAATCCTATTGTTTATTACTATATATCAATGTATAAGATAGGTGTAAGAAATAAACGTCTGTTCCAAGCCGTTTGACATGTAAATGAGCATTATATAGGACTCGCGTTTATTTTCAAGAAAAAAAAAACTAGAAAAAGAATCTTTATCAACAATCATAAGCCTCTTTACTTCTTTAAATTAGCTGACTGTATTGCATTTTGATTACGTAAAACGCCCGATCAGCAAACCAGCAGGTGTTCGCCATGTTTTACTGTTATAATAATAAAACAAAACAATAAGAAAAGTTCGTTTCCGGAAGCGTCCTGTGAATTTTTTAATCAATATTTAAAGTTAAAATATAACATTCTCCAAAAATATACCGGTAATATAATGTATATTTTTCATATATGATTTCTGCAATTAATTATAAATTATAAATCTGAACAATCGATTCGTTTGTTGATCCGGAATATTTCTCTCCGCACAATATAAATTTTTTATTACTTTCGAAAATCATGGCGGTCAATTGTACTTGTAATTTCACCATATCTAAAGTAATTCGGAGATACATGAGGTTGCTGAATAATTGGCTTGAAGATGATCAAATAAATCTGACGTCGTGTCTTTATCAGGCCAGTAGTACCATGTGAACAAAGTTTACAACCTGTCTTATACATGTATTTGCTTTCGTTTGCTTCTTTTTCCACCGTGATCAAAAACAAGTGGATAAGCCTACACCATTTATTGCATGAAATACGTTGTATTAAACGTGACCGAATATTCGAATACAAATTTTCCATTCGAATATTCGTGAAAAACTATTCGTTCGCGAATGTTCGAACATTCGTTTCAGCTCTATACACAACAGGAATATTTACACTTTTTAAAGAATATAATTAATGCATTTAGCTTGGTTTCTTGTATTTCAGAATGTCCAAAGACCATTGTTTACCTTCCATCCAAGATCCCCGACCCAATGTCCTGCTACATACCAGACTTCTGTACAGGGATAGAGTGCTGTGCTGACATTCCTGTCCTTGGTCTTGGGTTACATGTGTTCGCTCTTCTGGACCTGGACAAACTGGAACTACGAATAGGAATGGAAAACATTAAAGAGACCATCAAACTTAATGACTATGTTTGGGGAGAGATGAAGACCATAATTGTGGCTGGCGGGCTCATTAAATTAATGTAAGTAAATTTTCCTTGTGGAAGTTAATAGGAATGATTTAACTGCTGAATAATTTTTTTTTTATGTTGCATTCTTTATTTAGGTTAAATGTGAAGCCAATAACAAATGAGAATGTGTATGTGTTCAATGTTCATGCCTCTGTGTGTCTGAATGGAGGAGAATGTTCGATTGATATCCCAATTTTAAGAAATACCAGGTTACCAACAATCAGAGCCATAATCACCGGAGAAAGCAAGAGTTAGTAATAATGATAAAAGATTTGTGCCTCCTAAAAGCATTAGAATTTTTATGTAGAAGTTACAATGTAATACATAAGAGCAGTTGCAGAGTTTTTTTCCTGTGTTAAACAGTCTAAATATTATTTGCCTGCAGATTTCTCGCTGGTTGATTGGTTAAAAGAAATGGAGATACCTTCAGTAAGTGATCTAAAGGACAATGCCAAGACATTACTGCTTCAGCAACTGGGTGTTGACCAATACCTGTTAGACACACCCTGTAATGAATCTGAGGATCTATATTTTCCCAATGTCCATGGATGGAAAAATGGTGAGTGGAATTTACATGGATATTTTTTTATGTTTAATTTCCGTTGTTAAGAACTAGAAGAGGTAATTAGTTCAAGTTATCTGATAAATGATTAATCTCATTTCTGTTAATTGTTACAGAGTGTCCATTGGACTGGGTGGTTTTACCCCAGATTACCTCAGACAAAGTAAGATGCAGCCTGTCCTCTAACTGTACAAGGATAGACTGCTGTGTGGACTTCAGTCTGCTGAACCTCAAACTTCATTTCTTCCTACACTTTGATAGGTGTAATTATGTTATCTCTGGAGGAATTGAAAAGAAATCATTCAGTTATGGACTCCTGGATTTCAATAGCTTTTGGGGTATAGTACTACCATAGTATTACCATAGTATTAGTCTTAAAAAAATCTGTAAACTCTTTGTAAACCTCGCGTATATGTACAGTCCAGTCTGCTTCAACATCATGTATTCTATTTCACTTGATTTAATGGGTAAAGATAGATAATTTAAGAGCAAAGTCTTGTCTTAAACAGGTTTTGATTAAGGGATTACCAGACCTGTTTACTCTTATGATTTTGCGGTATTTTGTACGGATTTGTAGTTTAAAATACGTCTCACGTTTTGCTATTATAAAAGTATGGAAATCAGAAATACATTCGTTTGGAATTTAGCAGTTAGTTTTCACTATGATATGTCTTTGTTTCATGCTTTTGAATATTTAAAAAAAACAGAAAGATTTAAACACTTAAGTGATGTTGGGTTACCAAAACGCTGTGGTATTATTTCATGAAAAAGACCATGTTGTTAAATTAAGTTTTTGTAATCATCAAAGCAGTTGCTCTCTTTTAATATATGTAAATCAATGGAAAGTTAAATCTTAGGGGCAAATGCCAAATCTCACAGAGAAATCTAATCAAAAATACTGAGAGACAACGATATGGGTAAACAGGTCTGGAATACTTTTTTACTGGTATTCCAAATTACATGTAAAGAAGTTATGCACAACTTCATAATTTAAATAGAATACGTAATGAATGTTTGACAGTTGTGAATATTAATCATTAATATAATTTCTATTATTTAGGAAGAGAAGTTTCAGTGAATGTTGCAAACGTTATTTACATCAAGTAAGTAGATATTGTTAAATTTACCCTTGGTAACTGTTCTCTACACAGTAAGTTTATAAAGAATTATTTTATTTTAAAAGTGTAAGAATTGAGAGTCATTGTATCGCCATTATGGTGACATTTGAAGGATGGCAAAGTTTATAATCAAAAACGTTCACATGACAGCTAATGCAAAGTAAACTAATGCAATTTAAAATTCTACTTCTACGGCCAGGCGTCGGTAAGGCTATGATGATGTCATTTGCAAATCGCCTCACCTTATATGCAACATAATGTTAAGGTTACACACATTTTAGTGATTAAAACAATTTGCTTTATTTTTTCACTCAAAAATAACACAAATAATTCAATGAACATGTGGCATTTGACAATTTTTTCATGCCTCAAAATTTAATTTTCTTCACTTAGTGTCAAATGTTGATTTAATTTTGCATTTTCTTCAACTTTTTTTTTTAAACTTCAGTGTGAATAGGGCATAAAACATGTGATCATACAGTGTATCTGTATTAGATTTGATATGAGCTTTAAGGTTCTAGTTAGGTCATGAACTTGTTCAATTTCTGAATTTTCTAAAAATGTTGTTAATTTTGCATTTTTTATGAGCAAACATTTTAAATAATCTTAGGTCAAAGAGAAATATGATTTTTAAAGGTTCAAGGCCATCCAACTTGAAGTATCTAAGAAATATGTTCTGGACATGGGCATTTCAGTGTGCTTAGAACCTGATAACTGTGAACTTGAGGTCCCTGTTCTAAGTCAAGTCCTTATTCCCATTCTGAATTGCGATCTCACAATGGATTTTAATGTCAAAGGTGAGTATATATTTTGCAGCCTTAGGAAAGAAATTTGTTGATTTAGATTTATTTGGAATGCTTTTCATGATCAAAGAATCCACATTACAATGTACATCGACTATAAACTTAAGGCAGAAGAAGGAAGCAACAGATTCATGTTAGAAACATTTTAAAAAAAGATTTACATTTTGTATATGAAAGCTTGTGCACAATTTCAATATTTATTGCAATTCTTTTCGGTCATGAAATTAATAACAGCTACCTGGCACATTCCTTTTGTAGGTTTTTCTCTTGTGAAGTGGATGGATGACCAAGGTCTGTCATTTGATGGAAGTTTGTCTACAGCTCTGGCTGCTGCTTTGTTTAAGAAGCTGGGAATAGATTCTTTCCTGAAGAATCCAGCATGTGAAAGGACAGAAGCACCTTATAGTGTCAACAAACTGGACAACAGCGGCTGGTCCTCAGGTGCAAAATTTTGTAAAGTTTAATTGTAATACACATGTAATTATTATAATTTTTAAAAAATGAATACTGGCTTAAAATTTGAACTTTCCAGCAATCTAGGTAAAAAAATTCTGTTAATACAAATTCAGTTCTGTGTGCTTACTACTAGTCTAAAGTGAAATTACAGGTATGAAAATATAATACATGTATTGTTTTCTTTTAAATACATTGGCCTCTACCTGTAAAGTTTTGAACAAATTAATGCTTTAGAGTTTTAAATTTAATGAGAAAAACATAATTGTGCTACAAATGGTCAATTACAAAGTAAGTTATTGGTTTAAAACAGTGTTGTTTACAGTTTAAATATGCATCCTCAGTTTTCCTTAAGCTCTTGAAAGAGGATGGGTGCTTAAGCTCAGTAGCTCATAGGGTGAGCTCTTTCATGGATTCTAGGAAGTCAAGGGTTTGAGTCCATGGCTGGTCAACACTTCCCTGCCTGTTATACTTGATGCCCAGAAACACATTTCAGGAAGGTTTCAGTGAGGTTTTTGGAAGGAAAAATCTCCCCAAAAAGGGGATGATGCAGCCAGAAACACATTTCAGGGTTGCAACTTTCCTTCACCTTTGATACTTTTATATGTAGGACTGCAAAGTGCGATGGAACTCCAAAGTCCGATGGTCACGTCAAAGTCCGATGGTCTGCGCCAATCGCAATGGTCTGACATACCAAAGTCTGATGGTGCGGAAAAAAAATTAACGTTTATGACGTCATAGTACTACTGTGCCAAATTGCAATGCCGCACCAGGCTAAGGTCTTAAATAAGTATAAATATCAGTATGCGAAAACTAACCTTTATCTCTCAGCAATGTGCGAAACTAACCCTAATAAATCGAAAAGTGTATAACAACTATAATATAATACAAGGACTAGATATCTTTCGTGGATGCAAGACTAACCCTAATCATTCGACTAGTGTGGAAGGACTAACTCTAAATTTCTTGGGTTAGTGCGAAGCCAGGACTTTACCTAATCAGTCAAGTGGTGTGCGAGAACTAATCCTCATATCTCAGGAAGATGCAAGCAATGAGCAAAATCACTAAAATTCAATACGAGGACGAATTCAGAAATGATAACGTTTGAATTGATACTTTTATCATACTTGTGCACCATTGGTAACATGTCTCCTTGGAAATGAACCATCAGACTTTGGCAAAATTCAGGGCCATGTAACCATCGGGGTTTGAAGACTTTGGCATCACCATGGCACTTTGGAGTCTTACAAATAATTTTATACTTGTAGGTAGATTGGCAAATTAAATTCAGGGTGTAACTGTTGAAGACTATATCAACAAAAATGTTGATTAGTTGTGGGTTTACTGTAAATAGCCATTTTTCCCAAAGGATAAAAATTTTTCTGGATTAAAATTTCCCTTCAATCCATGAGTAGGAAATAACATGGATTTCTTAGATTGCCACTTAATGCATTAAATGTACTTATGTGCATATGGACAAATTTCGGCAGAAAATTGTTACCATATTCATTGTGATACCATGCACAAAATTGTATTATAGTGTCATGTCATAATGCTGTATGGTTTTTGTCTTTGAGTAAAAGGTGATAAGTGTGCAACTTTGTTGATCCCATGATTTTATCAATTGGTTTTATTTTCTAGAGTGCCCAGCCATATTGGCATTGCCTAAAATAAGGGGAACTACTGCCTGTCACATAAAAAACACATGTACAGCTATCAAATGCTGTGTAGAAGTTGGAAAAGTCAGCAGGACATTTGAGTTTGAGCTGGATATTGACTTCTGTAACCAGAAAATGACCTTTGGAATAGAAAAACTAACAGAAACTGTATCTCTTCAGGGATTTGAATATGGTAGGGAAAAATTATTTATTTTTTCTTGATTCATTAATCTACCTGATGCATAACTTTTTAAAACACTCTTTGTTTAATATGAATGGCATTAAATTTCTATGAGCAAATTATGATTTTTAAGTCACCTGAGTCCTTCCAGTGACCTATTGCTATCAATCTGTTTTCAGCTGTCTTTGTAGCTATGTAGTCCAACAATTATCAGTTGTTAATTTTCTAACATTTTCAGCTTCTTTTCTGTGAAAACTCAATCATTTTAAGTTAAATTTGGTGTATATAGCATCTATGGGCATGCAAAGAGGAACAAAATTTATGAAATTCATTCCCCCATGCCTTCCTTTAAATGCAAGACAATATTTGTGATTGATAAAACAATATTTAAATATTTTCTCTACTAGGTAAAAGAAAGGAGATTGTCATTATGGGAGTAGTCAAACTTTGGTAAGTTTGTTAAAATTTCAGTAATATTACTTCTTTTTATTGGTGAAGTACATGAGTAGACCCTTTTGAATGGTTGAAAACACACAAAGTGAAGTAGTCTTTGCTACACCATGTACTTGGTGTGTGTATATTTGAAATTTACAGGTTACTAAAGCACACTGTGCTGCACTATGTCTAGAAAAATTCTAGCTGATGCACTCTATACCACACATAGTCCAGAAATTAAAATTTCTGTATTTATGCACTGTGTCCATAACATTACAGGAGAAAATTGCTTGGTTTCAATAAAATATTTAAAATTGAAAAACAAAATTTGAAATCAACTAAACATTGTGCCCTGAATCGTAGTTAATATAAAGATCATGAGATCTGGTAACAGAAACTATTCAACGATTTTGAATTTACCATGTGTCTAGACATTTATATTTGAATTTACAATGAAATATATTTAATAAAAAGTGCCAGGGAGAGACCATTTTGCTTTTTTTGTAAGTGTACGTAATTGTGGTCCTTTGGAAAAGAGTATAAATTGAGGCCCCATGTTGCACTATGTGTTGGCACAAAAAAAGATTCCTCACTGCTCAATTGCCCAGAGTGCTGAGTATAGGGAAAAATTTGTTCTACTGCACTCTCTTTTTAAAAAAGAAATATTTGAAATAAAAGTTTTAAATTTCAAAAAATAAATGTTTAATATTATGTTGTTGATAGGTGTACAATTTGGGGTCATGAAGGAGAAGGTGTTTATGTAGTATCAGTAGATTTAGCTGTCTGCTTTGAAGATGGAGGAGTTTGCCTTGTGAATGCAAATATTTTAGATCAAGCAAAGCTGTCTAAACAGGCTTGTGTTTGGGGAAATTCATTTTTAAACCCAGGTTTGTATGAAATTGAATAAGACACATAAATTTTCTAGAAATTCAGTATTGATATTCAAGCTTTATAATTTGGTTTTGTGTTGTATTGAGCAGATTTTTCCTTGGAACAGTTTATGAAAGACAGTGCAGTCTCAACTTATGACCAGATAAAAGGTCTTGCTCTTGATAAATTGAAAGAGGCACTTGGTCTTCCTACATTCTTGAATGATCCTCCTTGTTCTTTAGGAGATCCCAAGTATGTTCCAAATGTTGGAGGGGTTAAAAAAGGTATGTAATTTTTATGCGCATGGATCGAACATCTGAGGTGTATATTGTTTTTGTCCTGTCTGTCTGTTTGTTTGTTTATCTGTTTGTCTGCAAACTTTAACCTTCGCTATAACTTTTGAACCATGAAAGACTTCATATTTGGTTCCAAATTAAGCTCTTTCAAATGACACCAAGGTCAATGACCTTGACTGTGACCTATATGCTAAAAATAGTTTTTTTCTGTAAACTTTAATCTTTGCTATAACTTTTGAATAATAAAAGATACCCGGTAGAGACTTCATATTTGGTATGCATACTCCACTAATTAAGTTCTTTCAAATGACACCAAGATCAATGACCTTGTGACCTTGACTGTGACCTATATGCTAAAAATATGTTTTTTAACTTTGTTGCCGCCAGGCACATAGTGTTTCACAAACACATCTTGTTATATCTGCTGGTTGAAGACCCAAAGAATTTGTTCTCTGGAAAGGTGTCCATTCTCAGTGTGTCTTGTAGTCAGTCTCAAGATTTGTAAATTTTTATTTTTAAAAGCAATTCTCCTTCAACAGTTTAATCAAACTTTTTACACAAGTTTGTGCATCTGTGTGGCAAACTTGTTGCAATATTCACCAATGTTAGTTCAATTACCCTGTAATATTTATCTATTTATTCTATAGCATAACAGTATAATAAAAGTTATCAGTATTTTCAAATTTTGATAAAAAGAATTCTAATGAAGGGTACAGAATCCTGTACTAAAAAGTTCATTGAGCTCTGTGATCTAGAAATGATTTTATTCCTGTTTTGTAGCATGTACAAAGGACCTTTCTCAGTCTGGCTTTTCTCTCCCAACACTTCCCAGCAGCATGGTTTGCCAGATCACAGAGTTCTGTACAGGAGTTGACTGTTGTATTAGAGCAGAACCAATCCATCACAGCTTCCATGCCTACCTTGACATAGATCCATGTAACTTTACCATTAGATTTGGTATTGACAAATTCCAGTTTCAGATCTACATGCAGGAGTACAGTTTTGGAGTTGAAAAAGATGTCAGATTGTTCAATGTTGTTCGCATTAAGTAAGAATCCTTCATTATATTAATACAAATATCATTTATTTTCTTAAATTTTAATGCTTTGTTTATGTAAAGAAGTTTTACAGAATGATAAGAGAATACCAAGAGAGGCTTGCATAGAAAATTATAAATATGTTGAAAAGTCTGTTAGATCTTACATTATACATACATGTATTTTGGTTTAAAATATCCTGCTACAGTTGAAGCTAAAACAAATCTGGGATAGGTTTATTTTGCAAACATATTAAACATATCTGTAAAGGTTTTGAAATTTTTGCAGGTTCCAGATATGGGATTTATCAGCTGAAAACCAGTATCTTGTCAATCTCAGATTTAGTGTTTGCTTTGATTCCAAGTCTGTCTGTTTACTGGATAAAGTTATTTTCCATGAGAAGCGTCTGCCAAAGAAAGTTTGTGACTTTGCTGGAGCAGCACTAATATCAAGTATGTCTGGAGATACTACATTACAGTGAATATGGTCATACATGTTAACCTATTGTGATGAAAAATAGGGAGATTCAGACCTCAAAAGCGGTAGCATTGCGCGCGTGTTATTTATTTAACGCTTGGATTATCGATATCTTTCATGTAATATACATGTATATTATAAGTCTTAAATGAAATCAGGTAGTTTCACTAATTAATCTTAAATATCAACAGCAAAGAAGAAGACAGAAACACCTTAAGTTTGACATAAATTGAACAAATTCAAGTATTTTTCATGCTCATCATTTTGCTTGGATTGGCTGCTTTACTTAGCCTTTTGAAGAGTGATCTTTGCTGATATAGCTAGAAGCAATAATTCTGAATGTTCATTCAGTTTTTAACCAAAACAAATGATGACATGGTTTAATCTAGATCTAAAACAAGTTCCTATCTTTCGTTATATAAATCAGATTTCCCGCGATGATCGAAAACGAAAGTAGAGATGTGCCACATGGCTTGGTCAATCGAGTGATTTCTATTGACTTTACTGATAAAGTTGTGAGCTTCCGTGCTTTTAAAGACGATGTCAAATGTTTTCATCTAATTCTTAAAAGCTGTATCTCCTTTTTCATGGCAGGGATGTTGATTAATTTGTCGTAACCAATGTAATCACTGGTAGTCTTGTGTTGTTTTCGTTGTCAAATCCGTGCTTGAAATCTATGTACAAAAAAGCGTTTGTATGATAAAAAATCGAGATTTTATGAGAGTGGCTTCAAAAATGGATACCCAAGCGAACCAAAAATACTTTGCAGCTTTTGTAGAAAAGCGGTAGATTTCTGAATTAAATCGGTACTTGCATCGGGAGAGTTAACATGTATGATATGGTATAATACACACTTAGTCTAATCCTTTTAACTTGATTAGTTGGAATTCTACAGATCAAAAAGTTTGGTCAATTTTTTTTTTCTGAACTAACTTGTCATCTTGGTGAGAACAACTTTAAGAAATAGCATTCATGCAGATATTTAGTTTGTCTAATCTATTGAGTGAACCATTGAAGATATAGCTCCTAGTTTGGATCCTTCATGGGGATAAAAATCACTATAAAGCATTCAAATTTGCGAAGTCATTTTTTTTGCTCCTTTTCTAAGGTTCATCATGTTCTTTTGACCAATAATCCTTTTAGAGATAAATAAGTTTGGCCAGTAAAGACAAGTGTTACGTTATCAGAATACTAGTTTTAGATAAATGTTTTTATTTTTAGACTTTTCCCTGGAGGAATGGAAGACATCCCTTGGTTTATCAACAGAGAATCTATTGCCCATCTTGACAGATCAGCTGATGGAACATCTAGGGATAGCTGGATACTTGAAAAGACCACAGTGCAGTATGACCAGTAGTACTGAAGGATGGATTGATAGTATGTGGAAAATTATATTCACTGTTTTCAGTGTTTTGAAGACATCTTGATGCTATTACACAAAATAATTCAAGTTTTGTTTATGATGGAAACTCTTTTCAGAATGCCCAAAATCAGAATTGTACAGGAAGCCTAGCCTTGCTGGGCTACCAGTGTTGTGTTCCATTTCATCAAAGTGCACAGAAATTCACTGCTGTGTTCAAGTTAAACCAATAGGAAGAAACTTTGAGACTTACCTCAATCTTGACACATGTAACAAAAGTTTGGTTGTTGGAATTGAGCAGTACAGAAGGAAAATAAATCTTCTGGCATACACATTTGGTAATTGATATATGTATATTGTTCTTATTAATAAGTCAGGTTTTTTTGTCTTAACAGTTTGTAGTCTTCATATTGTTTAGAACATCAGACTTAATCCTCCCTTTTTGCCCCTCCATTAAAAGGGGGGGGGGGAGGGGTTGGTTGGTTGGATTAACCCATATTCATCCAAACATCAGTATAACAATTTCCTTACCATAAAGTTACAGTTGGTGTTGAGTCAAAGTGCAATCACTTCACACCAATGCAAAATGTATTTAATTCAAATTAACCATGATTTGTAACTGGGAATGGTATTGCTTGCTTTGATTTGTGGGTTCTCCCTTAATTAGAACATTGGCTTCCTCTACATCTCCATAATGTCTCCCCACCCCCTTTAGTATATACATGTATACTGCTGATTCATTTAAGAAATAAGGTATCATTTTTTGAGTTTTATTGGGATGTAAAATGGGTTGGTCACGTGATCAAATCCCATAAAGCCTGATTGTGACTTTTAATGTGTGAAATGCATTATTTTTCAAACCCAACGGCATGTATATGTAATCCACTGAACGTGCGTCGACCCTTTATGACGTCACTGAAAAATTACGTCAAACGTTTATCCATACTAACATCTATGACCTCTTTACCCCGTACCTGTATTTATACAGTTATAAAAATGCTTGCTTTCAGTAGTGTTATATAAAGGAAAACATTTGCAAATGTAAATATATATATTGATATTGTAATTTGATTGGACAATGTTTTAAAACACTTTATTTTTTCCTTACATTTTGCATACATGGATGTGTTTTACATTTTAGGAACAAAAAGCAAGCTTTGGCTGCAAGATGTGATAAAAATTGAGTATGTTTTGATATGTATTTAGTCAAATGAACTAATTAGAGGAAATTGTAAAGTTCTAGTCTGTTTTTGGATGTATTTTACAAACTTAAAAAATTTAAAATGCAGATTACATTGTATTCTGTCAAAGAAAAAAGTCTAAGGTTGTTAAAAAGACTATAAATAAAATTAAAGATTTAAATAAAGCACAAAGTAAATGCAACTAGTATACTTTGAATTTTTAGATACAGTGTAGAAGACCTTCCAGGGGACAAAAAGTATGTGGTGAATATGAAGGTGGAGGTCTGTTTAGAACAAGGCAAACCATGTCTGTTCTCACAAGATATTGCTAAAGATCTCTACTTACCAAAGATTGATTGTGATTGGACACAGGACTTTTCAAGTAAGTTACTGAAGATTGTGTTATAGAGCAGCAGCTACTTGTAAGATTCTACTTTTGGAAAGAATTTGTTAGACCGACAAAAAGTTGTGAATAATACATGTAGATTTATAACTTTTTTCAATGGGTATATTTTCAGAGTTTTCTCTAAGTGAATGGTACAGGAACATGTCTCATTCTGTTGGGGCGGTTCTATCAGCTACCCAGCTCTCCATTTTGAAAGAAGCATTAGGGGTCACAAACTTTTTGTTACCCAAAACAAAACAATGCAACAGAATGTCACCAAATTACAAACCTGAGTCCTTAAGTAATGGTGGATGGAAAATAGGTGAATTTTAATATTTACTCTTTGCAATGAAAAACTTTGTTATAAGGTCATTTAGAAGAAATGTTATAACTTAGTATGAAGCCTATGCTTTATACAGATTTCTAAAGTAAATTTCTTTTGTAGACTGTCCAGAAATGATAATGGGTTTAACAAAGATTACGAGTGGACTACCCCTGAGTTGTCACATAAAGAGTCAGTGTACCGCTATTGAATGTTGTCTAGATCTACAGAACCCTCTACAACAAACCATTCACTTCTTCCTTGACCTTGACTTTTGTCTACAGACACTAAAAGTGGGAATAGAAAACTATGTATATGAGAGGACACTCTTCTCCTACTCTTATGGTAATGACAGTTTTGTTGTATTTTTTTCAGGGGAAACACACTTAGTCTATTTAAAATTTCAAGGTATTATACTGTATGTGAGCTTCAGTTTTATGTGTGAATACCACTAAAAAATCATTTATAAATAAAATATACAACAAGCACGTGTAGCGCTAATTCATGATTACACCAACAACTCCATATCCATTGATTGCGCTAAATTTTGAATACGCTAAATTATGTTCACGTACAGTATATTTATCAAAAGTGTTTAAGGCAATAGAGAAAGTGACCAGAACAATCTGACTGATGAGAAGAAGTTTCATCACTTTTCTTTTATCTTTACCAAGTGATTGTCTTTTTGAATTGTAGGCACTCAAGACTACTTCAAACTGGCAGATGTTGTACAGATTTTGTAAGAAAATTTTTTCAGCATGTTTTTTGTAAAATTTACAGCAAAAAAGTACTGCAAATGAATAATTTCATAAAATGCATGTTATGTTTCTATCAGGTGTAGTAGTACACCCACAAACTGTTTTAACTAATTTTTAGGGATGTCAAAATATTTATTTTCCTTAGTCGAGCATTATTCGAACGATAGTCGACTATTCAGAGCATTTATTATTATTTTTTTTTTACAGCACTGTGTTTTTGAAAGCTTATTAATTAAAATAAATTGGAAAATTGAAATGTGGGATTGTAAACTCACACAGTCCACACCTCCGATAAAAATGTTAAATACTGTTGGTTTAATTAATAATTGCCCAAGCTATACATCAAAATGTCTTTTATATCAGATTATTGTCTTAATAATTATCGAAATTTAAAACTTCACAGCTATGCAAATATTGTGTTCCTAAGTATTTGAAATTCCGAGAGTTTATAAAATAATTGATACAAGTAAATTAAATAATTTTAGTAGTCCAGTATAGTGTTGCATAATTTACTACATACAATAACAAAAAAAAGTCAGTGATTGAGAAATAATTATCGCGGTATGTAATAACTGTATTTTCAATATGTACAATGAAGAAAATCATTTATATACTGTGACTGTGTTTGAGCTTTTATCTGAGGACGTAAACTATTCAGCTGTATAGTTTGAGGAAGGACCCTTTTTCAATTTTGAGATGAACGTTTCATTATCACCCCCTTTTCTAGCATTGATTTAATATTCAAATGTTATTTCATTATTCGATCGTCGGTCCATTCGACTGACAGTCGAATAGTCGACTATTCGTTGACATCCCTACTAATTTTCTAACAATATTAATTCCCTTGAAGAAAAGAGCAAAATTGCTAAGTACCTATTTAGTTTGATGATGGATCTGTTGACAAATGGTTTGTATATTCTTACCAATAACTTAGCAATCCTTTGCTTGATTTTCATCCAAGTTTGTGTATCAAAGACAGGTTAGCAGGGCAGATCTACTATTCTTCTTTACTATCTGTAGATACCAGATTGATAAAGTAAATAAGACCAGTCTAGAACTATCCATGAGAGTTAAAATCTGTCTGGAAGAAAACACATGTGTCTATAATGTCACAATACTGGACAAAGTGGTCTTTCCTAAACCAGGATGTAGCTGGGACTTCGCTTATGCCATCCCAGGTTTGCTTTTCTATTAGAAAAAATGAGGCTTTCTTCAATAATTTTTGTTGTTGAAAAAGTACCATAAATGGTAGAATTAATTTTCAATTTGCCATTTTGCAACATCTTGTTGTAATAATAATGAAGTCTTTCATCATATTGGTGAGTGATAACACAAATTTATTTCCATCTGCGAGACTTGCATCATAGATTTGTTAATCAGATTAAGATCATGAAATAATGCTATTCACTTAAAAAAAACAAGCAAAATTTACTCATTGGTTGTTGTAAGGTAAAGATGGTGATGGATAGGCCAGAAATTTTAGACTATATATTAGTTCTAAGAAATCAATGACTGTTAAATTTTGCAGAGTCTTGGTCATAATTTTGATTTTCTCTTGAAGATTTTTCTTTGAAAAATTGGTACAATGATATTGGGGCAAGCATTGGCTCTCAGTTGTCCAAACTTAATGCTGCAAAACTGTTGGAGGAGCTTGGTATTGCCAAATTCACCCAGGAAATACCTTGTCAGAGGGCTGGCCCAGCATATAGCCCACATGTGAATGGATGGAAATCAGGTAATTGACAGTATAATTTCTCTAACTTCTTACAGGCATATTACCTTATTAACATTAAATTGAGACAGTCCTATCTAATCTTATTACTATTTTTGATTATATACATGACATTGTATTTTGAGAATTTTACAAGTTCAAAAGTGCTTGTATTTTTGATAGTTGGAAATGTGATAAATGGGGTTTTATTTTGGTGCTAAGTTTTGCATTCTGTAGCAAATATTTCAGACTGTCAAATGGAAGTGATGAGCAGTCCAATCACAGACCCTGTTTCGTGTCTGATTAAGGACACCTGCACTGCAGTCAGTTGTTGTATGGACATTGACTTTCTACAGAGGTCTTTCGAAGCCAATGTCACTGTGGATGCTTGTAACCACTGGATCTCAGTCGGCATTGAAAAGTTGAACTTTAACATTAGCATTGATGACTTGTCATTTGGTTTGTATAATTCTCAAAGACTGCATATTTAAGGAGCTTCAAATCTGATTTAAGCATTTTTTTTTATTAATCATATATTTTTTCCAGGTACTGAGAACAAATTTTACTTGAACAAAGTAATCAGACTGAAGTAAGTATTTTTTTATGCCCAGCCACTAATATGGCTGGGGTATGTAATGTTATGTCATGTTTGTCTTCCATTCTAGTCTTCTGTCAGTGTTTTCTGATTTTCCATTCTTTTGTTCTTCTGTCTGTTGTCATTATTACCTCTATTTCACTTATCAAGATATTCCAATATAACTAACAGAAAAGAAGAAGGTACACTTTCTATACAAATTAAGCCCGATATTTTTCTAAAATACCGTATATCAGGTTTTTTCCGCGTCATGTTTTTTCCGCGAATCAGAACCTAAATCAGTATATTAAATTTACGCGAATCAAATTTTCACTATTTCAAAGTCCCAGTGATTATATCATTAACATTTTTTAAGCATATGAAGGAATAGGATGTAAAATGTAAAAGTCATTAAGCTTGAGTTACTTCATACGTGTGAGAAATAGATCGATCGACCTTCACCTCGTCAATTTCGGAAGACGCGCTCACCTAATTACACACCTGTGTTGCGTACTTACTCTCAAATCCACAGATATTTTTTTAAGATTTAAACAATCATAGGTCATTTACTGTTCCAAACTGACTAGCAGCTCAGGTATAATTAGTTTAATGCCTTATCGCAAGGAACATGACCCATATAATTAGCTAGCTTGTCAATTAGTAAACAAACAATAAGGGCTTATACCTATTACCGGTATCTTGCGCTTGTCCTCTAAACCCGCTATTTCTACCCTCTACGATATAAGCATTAAGAAATATTTCTACTACAAGAAGAAAACTTTATATGAAATTTACGCTGTTTTATTTTCCGCGATTCAGAACTCGTCGAGAACAAAGCAGAAATTGGATACACGCGGAAAAATCCTGATATACGGTATAAAAGTGATATGAAAAATAAAATTTCATTCTTCTGAATCACAGGAATTCCCTGCAGTAAGAATACACAAATCGTTTTTCTCATATGACCTCCTAAATGCTAATTGTGACGTCATTAACTTGTGCATTTTCCCGTATTTTCTTAAAAAGTTGCAGAAGACAACACTTTTCAATGGAATTTTCATCAAGAAAACATACTCTGCCACCGTCGCCCGGAAAGATTTTGAGATATGTGATTTTTCATAGTAGTTTACATAATGTATCCAAAAATTAAAGTGGGCGACGATGGCAGACACTATTTTCTAAAGGAAAATTAGCACAGAAAACAGTGATTTTGAGGCTTTTCTGCATTAAACTTAAAAATGCACCACATTAATGACGTCATACTTCCAGAGAGGTCCTCCTTCATGCCATATTCTTTCATGATTTATCATATTCATCTACTCAACTATTGTTAGAGTCAATTTCATAACCTTTTAAGAACACTAAATTTTTAGGGCACAATAAAGCTCAAACTGTACCTTCTTCTTAATATAACTCTGTCACAATTTGAAGACCTTGATATTCTTTATAAATTTGTTTCTGACTAGATTTGTAATTTTGAAATTAAACTTTATGTACTAATTAAGGTACACAATGGTGAAAGCAAATTAATTCCACTGTGTCATTTATTATTTTCTGACTTTGACATTTCTGGTGAACTTTTCATGTAATGATGAGTCTCAAATGAATTATCTTTACATGTAATTAAAGAAAGATGGTACATTTCTTGTCTTAATACAACTTTACCTAGGTTTGGGAGTCATTTATTGATAAGTAGAATTTTCACCAGCATCTTAAATTCATTCACTCCAAAGATTCAGCATTAAACTTGATATATTACATGTATGATGTTTTTAGCTACAAGTTAGAAGATATGCCAATTGAAAGACAGTTTAGAGTAACCATCAGCTTAAAGGCATGTTTTGAGGCTTCAGATGACAATCAATGTATCATTAACATTGACATCTTCAAGGACACACTTCTACCCAAGAAAATCTGTGACTGGACAGAAGGATTTTCCACAGCTAGTATGTTGATACATGTATTGTCAATAATATAAACGAAGTTTCCTAAGGCTTACAGAAAATAATCACACTAATCACACCAATGCAAAAAAGGTACAATTTTTCCCAAAAGAAAGGTGTAAATTTCCCAATTTTCATAGCAAAATATTAATTAAAAAATAAAAGTCCATGAAACATAATCGCAAAAAAAAACCAAACAAAATACACTCGTAAATGAAAGTGAAACTGTACTGTTTTATTAGTTCGCGCCAAATGCATTCGTAAACTGGTTCGGGGAACCAAGTTATTGTTTTTACAAAAATGTGTATTAACTATGAGTGCAGAGCATCTTGTCATGTAGTTTCGACAAAAAAAACATCAGTTTGGTTTCAAAAATAGACATTTCATTTAAACATTAGTAAGCTGCACCTAGAAACATACCCACGCTTCGGCATGTTCAGTCTCGCGCTATATTGGTAAGCAAAGTTGTCCATGTGACATTCGGGACTATGTGTCTAGCGACTGTCACTCAGAAAGACATGCGTAGCCACAATATTAACACTCAAAGATAGTAATGACAAAGCTAATGTACTTTCATAAATAGCCTACGTACATGTAGTACCCATATTTGTTCTGTTTAACTGTTTATTCAAAACTTAAATTAATGACAAAATGCTAGAAAAGCAAAATTTGAGGATTTTTTAAAATGAATTTTGATTATCCAACTTTTCCCAAAATGACGATAATTTTCCCAATTTGAACAACCCCGGCCCCAGTCCCAAAAAGTGGTGTGAGAGCCCTGGTCTCTGAATAATTTTGCAGTGTTTAAAGATGCATCTGAGGTTTGACTATAGTCTACATATTATGTTTATCAGATTTCAGTTTGTCAGAGTGGTACCAGGACCTTTCACTACCAGAGGGATCCATTCTCTCCAAGCTTAACATGGACAATCTCTTGGATAAGCTGGGAATAAGATCTTACCTAAACACAGTTAACTGTTCCTTTAATTCCACAACATACAGCCCAGCTAACAGCAAAGGATGGAAGAATGGTGTGTTAAATTAAATTGAAATACTGTAGATCACTTAATTTTCATGACGCCAAATTTTTGCAATGTAATCTCTCTGATATTACTAAGAGAGACCAAATTTTTGCCACTGTTTTAATCTTAATCTTAAATATACAAATATATGCAAAAACAAAATGTTTGCAAGCAGACTGTCACAGATTATTGTGTGATAAAGTTCTCATAGATATAAAGTGATACAATAAAAAAAGTAATGCTTGATAACTTAGGATGTTTGAACATTGTTTAAATTGTTTCATTCCAGACTGCAAAATGGACCTGACCTCCAGTTTGCCAACCCTCCCATCAACGGCTAGATGTAATATACCTGACTACTGTACAGGAGTGACTTGTTGTGTGGCAGAAGATTCTGTACTAAGGCATAATTTTACTGTGGGAGTCAAACTTGATGACTGTAACCACATACTGACGTTTCAAATTGAAAAACTTAAAATTGAAATACCACTCAAGAATTACAGCTTTGGTAAGCTATCCCAGCTGTTTATCAATAGTTTCCTTACTGAAATAAAAAAAATTTAGTTCTTTCAGTCAGGTTGGAGATTTCCATTTGATATATCTAATATTAAGTAAACAAGCTTTCCTTTTTGTTATTTTCTTTTGCAGTTTTATTTTTTTTAGGGTTTTGCACCATTTTCTTTTACATTGCTGTCTTATTTTCTTTTTCTTACTTTTATTTTGCTTTAAATTTGCGATTTTTAAAAAATTCAAGATTTTTAGGAAAATGACGCACTTCATTACATCATAATACATGGACTAGAGAGAAAATTTAACTGATATGCAAAAATCAGGTGTCCAAGCAAAATTTAAACATTTTTAACTAAGACTGAGCAGGTCTGATTTCTCAGAAATTCACAGGGCCAAAAAGGGCCCTGGGTGAACCTTGTTCTATGATAATATTTAAATTTTTTTTAAAATTATTACTTGCAGGTGTCACAGAAAGAAGATATCTCATGAGTGTTGTACAATTTGAGTAAGTAAATATACATGTAGTTGATCTGCTGTAGGCTTTCATATTGCATGTTATAAATCAGGTTTATCCTATATGCACATGTTAAATGTTCATTTTGAAACAAAAAAAGCAGGAACCTCGAATGCACTTGCAATTTTATTAAAATGAAATGTTATACATGTATGTCCAAAAGTTTTCATCAGATTATGTTCAATTTAGATTCAAGATAGATGACATCCAGATAGAAAAGACATATAAAATCTCAGCAAGCATTAAAGTATGTTATGGAGTAGGACCTTGTTCTCTTGACACTATTCAGCTGATCCAGGATTTTAAGCTTCCAAAAACCTTGTGTGAATGGGGAACTGGATTCATTTCAGGTTGGCAAAATTTCTACGAAAATGATTGTTAAACTAAGGTGACATATTACTTTAATTTAATAAACTATGATAATCATTTTTTTTCTCCCTACCCATTTTCAGATTTTTCCTTGCAATCATGGCTGTTGGATAGGGGATTCAACATAAACACTACTCTTTCTTCTGTCAGTGTTGCATCACTTCTTTCAGCATTAGGGATGTCAGATTTCTTAAGAGATCCACAGTGTAGAAGAACAGAAACAAATTATCAGCCAAACAGCAATGGATGGAAAAATGGTACTGTGTGTTAATGTTCAGAATACATGTATTTTTTTGCTTCTAGTGTTTTTGCTTCTAATTGTAATTATTTCCTCATGGAAATTTATTGAACTTGTTTGTATATTTTGAAGATTGTCCCACTATCCAAGTTCTTCCTGCATTACCCAGCTCAGTGTCCTGCCACATTCCCAACACCTGTACCAGTATAGACTGCTGTGCTGAGGTACCCTTCCTTAATGGTCGCTCCATCAATGTACAAGTCCTCATGGATCCCTGTGAAGCTATCATGAGTCTGAACATTGAGAAAATGCAGTACAACATTACTCTGTTTGATTATGATTTTGGAACAACTGATCATTTCACACTGCAAGGAGCCATCAGGATAGAGTGAGTAAAAATGGCTTTATTTTATTATTGTGTACCATTATCAATGTTACACATTTATTTTATACGAAGATTTTCATTGTTCAGATAGATGTAAGTGTCAATCATCTTTAAATTTATGGTCCTATTTAAGTTGCTTTGATTTCTTTTTTTAAATTACCATTATAAAAAATGGTTTCTTTGAACAGTTTCAACATACAGAATATGGTTATGGAGAGGAAGTACCTGTTGAACATGAACCTGAGTGTTTGTATGGAGACCTCTGATCTCTCAGATTGTGTGTACTCGGTGGTTATATTCCACAATACTATACTACCTAAACAACTCTGCAGCATGGAACTGGACTACCTGAATCCTGGTAAATTCTTTGTAAAATTTTAGCTACATGTATATGTTTGCTTATTTACATTAAATTTTGGAAATGGATAGTAAAAAGCTTTTATGTAGATAAAATAAATTAGATATGATTTCTAAATGTAACTACCAATAAATATGAATATTGTGTCACATATTAAAAAGTCTTTAAGCTGCATTTGGGCATGCCCCTTTAATTCAATGTACAGTTGCACCTTATTATCTTGAATTTGATTTTACCAAGAAAAAAAAAACTTCAGCATATCTGGGCATTTGAGACAGTGAGGTTAAAAATGCACGAAAGAAAAAGTAGTTGGGACTTACAACTGACTTACAGATATCCATGTTATTTGAGAAGTGTTATCCCTGTTTGAAATATTGAAGTTCAACTGTATTAATAAATGTAATATAATATGCATTTTCATCAGATTTTAACCTTTCATCCTGGAAAACCTTGCATGGTTTTGGCTCCATTTTGACCCATGAACAGACCAAGAAGTTATTGAGGGAGGTGGGTGTTGAGGAATATGTAGGAGTTGGGTGTTCTAGGAATGATGCACCTTATGCTCCAGAGATGCACAATGGGTGGAATGTACCCACAGGTAAGCCATATCATCAATGTGAAAGCATGTAATTGTATATGTCTGAGAGAATGTCAAAATAATAATGAAGTAAAATATGGCTTGTAAGCATCATTTTTAGCATTTTATGTGTATGTATTTGTATCTCTTTCAAAGGAAAGCAGTTTCAGAAAATGCTTTTTCATTAATTGAGTGAGGAAAAGGGCCCTGCTTCCTTTCATTATTTTATTCAGATTCAGATTAGACATTATTATAAACTTAAGTCTTGTGTAATTATCAAGGAACTGAGATATCCTGTGGATAATTGTGTGCGATATAAATTTTGATGTAGCATGTAAAGTGGATCCCCCTACCTTGCCCAGTAACATCAACTGCCACATCTATGAATCCTGTACTGGTATCAGTTGTTGTTTTGATGACTCTATCACTGGGACGTCCTACCAGATCTCAGTCACTGTAGACTCTTGTGGGGAGACCCTGGTCATCACACTGGAGAAAATGAAGTTTGTCATTTCCTTGTTTGATTATCCCATGGGAACCAAGAGGACTGCACAACTATTTGGAATTTTGCAGCTTGAGTAAGCTGCATCATTTTATTTTTCCCAGGGAACAAAGCTTTAGAGGGAATATACTCAAATTTATGTTCATTCAATGTATTTATGTACATAATGTAAAAAAAATATCACATGGCACATTTAATAATGTAATGTCTTTTGGATATGTGTCTTATAATTGACTTTGAAATGTACCATGTTATGAATGTGCTTTCTGTCTTATCAATTGTGAATCGGCCTTATTAGGTCCACTTTTGTTCAGTAGTGTAGTATATAGTTGATTTTCCTTTTTTATTTTAGGTACATGATTGATGACATGCATTTTCTTGGAGAAATTGTCATAAGTCTGAAAGCTAAAATTTGCTACTCAAAAAACAGAGCTTGTGAGCATGAAATTTCAATTCTAGAAGATTTCAGACTCCCAAAACCCCTCTGTAATTTTAGTTCAGGAAATTTTGCCATTCCAGGTAAGGCATTTAGGCTTTAGGGCAATCATGTAAGATTTTATTTTTAAGCAGTATTTTTCTGGAATGTAATGATAATTGTCTTCTTTTTCTTTAGATTTTTCACTCAGTAAATGGATGGTTAATGTTGGAAATATAGGAGATAAGTCTTCTCTTGAGCAATGGGCTGTTGATCTATTGAAATCAGAATTGAAGCTTTCCAACTACATGCTGGATCCAATGTGTAAAAGATCACAGTATTTAACAGGCAGTGGCAACTGGAACCTAAGTGGTATGGACATTTCAAACACTGTATCTAAAAAAGAAATACTTGGTGAAATTTATATTATCGATAAGAAAAATTTTAATGCATAAGGAGTGAAAGAAAACTACGTGGACAGAATTTTTCAGAATAAGGGGTGTCTTAAAAAATGATTTAGTTTTATTACATTCAGTTTTCAATGTACTTTTACAGCATGTTCAAGGAAAATCATAGTACCACCTTTACCTAGTCATACATCATGTGCTCTGTCTGCTTCCTGTGCTGGTGTCACATGCTGCACAGATATAGCTCTACTGAAAACAACTGTTCAGACAGAAATCAGAGTGGACAGATGCAGAGGAAAAGTTTTCATCCATTTAGAAAAACTGGAAATAGTTATTATGCTCAAGGACTTTGTTTATTCATCATGGCAAACCTATACCCTACAAAATGTGTTCAGATTGAAGTAAGTTTATACATATAAATACTTTAGTACAAGTAACTATCAATGGTAATGTATCACATTATTGTCCCTAGATCTCACAATAGCTTGGAAAGGTAAACTATCAAACTATGTTTCTTCTGTTCTCTTAATCCATCACAAACGCTTTTATCTTTGTCATAAGTTTTGAATGAGAGAGGGTATATGCTTTCATATATATGTCTACTACCTGTAACAAGTTCTTTCTGATTGTACGAAAATTTTGAACCTCTTGTCCACTAACTTTGACCCATTTTTCAAGAAATTTAACAGTGCCAAGGAGGTTATTTACAAGAAATAATACCCGTTGTGTGAGACAAAAAGGCAGAGGGGGTAAATCGAAGGTTTTTACATTTGCTTGGATCTGTAACTTTCTGCTTTATCTGTCCGATACTTCTCAAGCAGAGAGCTAAAGTTCTGTAGCTACATGTAATGCATATTATAATTATATTTTCAGATACAAAATTGATTACCTTTCTGCTGAGTCTGCATTCATGTTCAACATCAGATTCAGTGCTTGTTTTGAAAGTAAAGGGGACTGTATGCTGAGCATTTCTATCATGCAAGATGTGAAAATACCAATCTTACCTTGTAATTTCAGTATGCAAGACTTTGCAATACCAGGTGTGATTTCCATTTTGTCTACAAAATATGATTTCAGCTATTATTCTCATTTACTTGATTTAAAAAAAAAAAACATTGTACTGTAGGTGAAATTTTACTAAACATTGTTGTCTTTCAATGACAGGTTTTAGTCTCAATGATTACTTAATCAGTAAAGGAATTCCAACATCTATCAATTCCCTGTCAAGTGTATTGGCAGATCAGTTGTTGGACTCTCTTGGCATCAGCAAGTTCTTCAATGAAATTCCATGCAACAGATCATCTTTTATTGGGACATCATCGGGCTTTGATATAGGTATTTTGAATTATTTCAGCAAATTTTGAGTACATGGAATTCGGTTCCAATTTAATATGATATATACTGTACATCTCTCTCTAGAAATTGTTATTACTATTGTATCAATTTTGAATTTTCAATTCAATTTTGCACTGTATTAATTTAAATTGTTTTTAAATTGATTTCTTCTTTAACAAAAATTATTGAACTGATTTGAGAATTTTTAGTGATAAAATCTAGTTTTTATAACAAATGCAGGATCTTCCTGTACACAAGATGTTTCCTCCTACCTCCCAACTCTCTCTGCTGATACAAGCTGTAGGATCTCCTCAGGGTGTACTGCTATACAATGCTGTACAGACATCTCTCTTATTGGAAAGACTCTGAACTACACTATCAGCATTGATGCTTGTGCGCACTCCTTAATGTTACAAATAGAGGCCTTCCAGTGGGAACTTTCTCTTGTGGATTTCGAATTTGGAAAGGAGCAGAAGTTCAGCATTGATCAAATCTTCTCAATTAGGTATTAGAAAAGCTTGCAATTTGCAAAACATTTTACCCGTAGTTATCCATTTAGTTCATTTATATTTGTCATATTGAACTACAGCTTATAGTTGTAATAGTGTGAAATCACAAATTTTCGTGGGGGTTTAATTTTCGTTGTTTTTGAGGTGTGAAGAGACCCACGAATTCATGTCCCCCACGAAATGTAAATTGTGACATACATAACTACTCAATAATTCTACATCCACGAAATCAAATCCCAACGAACCAAGATTTTTTTCTCAAACAACGAAAATTTGACCCCACGAAAATATGTGATTTTACAGTAATTTGATGTTAACTTTTGAAATTTAATTGTTTTGCGTTTTCAGACTTCTTCCATGGCCTTAAACAGAAATACATTTTATTGTATAAAACTTCATTTAATATTATAATAAATGTATATTATGATAAATGTTTTTCTACTGCAGGTACAGGATCATTGAACTGATTGGTCAAGGCCAGTACCTTATAGACATGAGGCTAAGTGTGTGCTTTAGTGATGGGTCACCTTGTCAGCTGGAGAACACTATTGTCAGTAACTACCTTGTCTCTAAACCAGTTTGTGCTTGGTTTAATGGATACAAGGTCTCAGGTAAATTTAGATATACAGTAAAACTGTCTAATCCAGACACCAAAGGTTCCAAAGAAATTGGCTGGATTAAACAACAATTGAATTAACTGAAAGGGACTTCAAGATAAGATCGTATTATGCAAGATTTCATAATATACAGTACAACATGCGGATTGGACAGGTTTCATTTTATAGAGCTTGGTATGAGCTTCTGGTTTTGACCAAACAGGCAATGTTTTTCCAGCATACAGAGAACTAATCAAATGAAGAATACACTTTGTTCAGAAAGACAGATTTCAGTGCATGTACAATGTAACATAATTTTTTTGTTTCAGGGTTTTCTTACTCAAATTGGTTATCTGTCAATAACATCAACCCATCTGATGAGCTGACAAGGACCAGCATTTCAAATCTTCAAGAGGCACTTGGGCTTACAAAATACATGAAGAAAGAAGCATGCATTAGTGAGAAAATACTCTACAAAAACCCTTACCAAGGATGGACTTCAGGTATTAATTAAGAGAAGATTTGGGGGGGGGGGGTAAAACATTTCAACCAATAATTAAAACTTGAAAGCAAATTGCTGAAAAACAAGTGAAAAATAGAATTTTAAAACTTTTTTTCTCTCTTTCTAGCCTGCCTGTCAGACAGAGATATCAGTAAACCTGTCTTGGATTCCAGTAACATAACCTGTCACCTACATAAATCCTGTACAGGTGTACAGTGTTGTGTCAGCCTACCTCACACAGACTTCTCTGTAGGGACATTTGTAGAAATCAGTCCATGTGATCATCAACTTAGAGTGGGAATAGAAAATCTGAAATTCAACAAAAGTCTGTTTGGTTACAATTTTGGGGAGAGAGAAAAATTTGACCTGTTTGGTTTGGTGGTAGTTGAGTATGTATGAGTTTACACATCATTGTTTCAGATTATAATATTTATTATGGCTTTGAACAAAAATTCATTTTCTGTATGTATTTGTTAGTTTTCAGATAATAAATCTGGAATATATTGGAGAGAATGGGAAGTACTTGGTGAATTTAAACATAAGTGTTTGTTTGGAATCGGGACAACCTTGTGAGACAATAATTCCAGTATTTGTCAATAGTCTACTGCCAAAGAAAGCATGTGGAAGGGGGCTGGGCTTCCTGGACACAGGTGAATATTTAGATATTACAATCAAAAGTTTTGTAACCTCTACAAATATACCCCTGTAAAGAAGGAACATCACTCAGAAAAAAAATAAAGAAGAATTTACAGTTTCAATACAAATTATGCCCTGTATTTTTCTAATATACATATGTATGAATGTGATATAAGACATTAAAATTCATTCTTTCTGATTCATAGAAATTCCATGCAGTAAGAATATACAAATTGTTTTTCTCTTATGACCTCCTAAATGATAATTGTGATGTCATTAACTTTGCATTTTCCCGTAATTTCTTTAAAAGTTGCAGAAGACATCATTTTCAGTGGAATTTTCTTTCAGAAAACATACACTGCCACTGTCGCCCACAAAGATTTTGAGATTTGTGATTTTTCAAAGCAGTTTACATAATATATCAAAAAATTGAACTGTGGCAGACACTATTTTCTAAAGGAAAATAAGCACAGAAATGAGACATTCTGAGGCTTTTCTGCATTAAACGTAGAAATGTACCAATTTAATGACATCATATTTCCAGAACAGTCCTACTTTGCCATATTCTTTAATGATTTATCATATTCATCTTCTCAACTCTTGTTAAAGCCAATTTCATAACTTTTAAGAATATTAACTTTTATTAGGGCACAATAAAGCCCAAACCGTACCTTCTTTTTTCAATTACTTTTTGCTTGTGTTTACAGCTTTTTCCTTGTTCACCTGGAAATCCCACCATGGTATATCCCCAGGAGTCTCTCTGGATGTTCCTCATGTCAAACAGCTTCTCCAGGACCTGGGGGTATCACACCTCCTGTTGGATGATAATCAGAGATGTGACTGGACCAAACCTCCGTACAGTACTGTCAACAGTACAGGATGGGCAGATGGTACATAAATTTCATGTCACTACATTTGACAGAGGTTTATAATAAATATATAAAGGTAAAAAAAAGATAACATGACTTTTTCCTTGTAGATTGTGACAGGGCAACAGAGAACCTTCCTTCCCTTGGTCCCAACATACGATGTGCTGTTTCTGCTTCTTGTACTGACATCAGGTGCTGTATGCATTCTGATATTCTGGGGGAGAACGTAGAGGCTTCTGTCATTATAGATGCCTGTGATGGCAAAGTCTCGGTGGGGTTAGAAAAGTACCAATGGACTGATAAACTGCTGGGGTACAAATTCGGAGAGGTGAAACATGTTTCTTTGATGGGAATGGTCAACTTAGAGTAAGTTACCCCGTTTCTAGCAGCAATTTTTTTTTTTAGTTGTCAGTTCTGAACTTTTATTGAAAATTTTATTTTATTTAGTTAAATAATGAAATCATTTTGGAAAATTTGTGTTTGAATATTACCACTGTATTTAACATAGCAATGACACATTTGTTTTTCATGTACGTGCATTAATCATGGTCTGGTATGAATTGTAAAAATTATGAAAAATTCTCTTACAAAATTCTCTTACAGAATGTTCAAGCATTGCCAATTAGTATTGTATTTTGGTCATTTCAGTTACATCATAACAGACCTGGAAACATTCTTTGGAGTAACTCTGAACCTAAGCATATGTTTTGAATCCCATAAAACCTGTGAGAAAGTTTTTCAGGTCTTTAATGAACACAAACTCCATAAACCTTTTTGCAACTGGACTAGAGGCTTTGTTATAAGTGGTAAGTTTTAACCTTAGACATGTAAATTGACTTCTTCAACCACTGTTAAAATGACCTAGTACTGATGATAAAACTTTTTACTTTGGAAAAGTAAATTTATTTAATATAAAGTGAAAATATACAGGATTCATTGTTAGAGAGCAAAGCAACAGAAGGAAGCAAAAGTCAATACATGTACATAAGAGTGAAGTACAAGTAAAATACTTTTACTTGATGGATTGTACTTGTTTGTTATTCTTGGTCTCTAGCTTTTTTGTCCTTGCATATTATCTCTTTCCTGTTACCTCTGTATTCTCTCTCTCTCTCTCCCTCTCTCTCTCTCTCTCTCTGAATTATTGCACAAACATTTTACTCATTCTCACTCCTGAAAAAAACTTTGAATTTTCACACAAATAAGATAGATATGGTCTGAATGTTAAATAGAAGCTCATGCTTGTCACAAAAAAAAATTATGTCATATATTGACCCAAGGTCATTTCATCAAGTTCAAGGTCAGTAAGTATTAAATATGTCTAATCTATAACTTTTTAACAGAAAAAAAAACTGGAAGTTAATACCTTGTACAAATAATGCATATAAAATAAGGTGTGTTGACCTTAATCCAAGTGTCATTTGATTGTATCTTGGGAACATGAATTAACCTTGATTCAATGTCTTTCCAGCACATTTATAGTTATGGCAGAAAAAGTAGAGATTGACTGATTGAGGTTATATTTTATGAGCTCATTCACAGTGCCTTTAGTTTGCAATCTTTGTATCTTATGAAGCTGAAAGTAATGTTTTATTTCAGATTTCTCTTTGGAAGGCTGGATGGCATCTAGTGGATATCCTCTTACTGTTGCTCTACCCTCATATGCTGCCTCACAACTGCTACATGACCTTGACATTATTCAATACTTAGGAGAATCTAGCTGCAACAGGAAATCCATTCCCTTCTACCCAAGCAAAATTGGATGGAATAATGGCATGATTTCATTAAACCATTCTAAAACATTTAAGTTCTGTTCCTTTTCCAAAAAATTACTTTAAGACAGTAACGTAATCAAACTCACCTGGGTAATTTAAGATACCTTTAAGAAAATGATGGATTTTGTTCGCTTCTTTATTTTATTTGTTTTATTTGCTGTTATATTCGCCTCTTTCTCTTAATTTACTAGGATGTGACCAGTATGTGTCTCTTGGTGGTATCCCTGCTGGAACCACATGTCACCTGTATGATTTCTGTACTGGAGTCAGATGCTGCTCAGATATCCCCCTGCTGGACAGGTCTATCAACACCTGGCTAATAGTGGACCACTGTAACTACAAACTCAGTGTGGGATTCGAAAAATTTTCTATTAATATCAGCCTTCAAGATTATGTAATGGGAAGCAGACAAGACATCAGTATCAATGGCATTTTCAGAATACAGTAAGACTATTCCCTTACTTAAAGACTTAAAAAAAATGTATACTATAAATACATGTATCTCCCAGCGAGTCCATGGTTTCATTGAAATTGTCTTTAAAATGGTAAAACACAAAAGGTAAAGAGTTATAGTAAAATTAAGCAATGCCAAGGCATATTTTACAATATATTGCTGGTTATTAGTAAGAAAAATGAAGATGGAATTCATATTTACATTGCTCTGCAGATTAGTGTGAAATATATTTAAAATGGAACACACAATCATTTTATATTGACATTTAAGTTATTAAAGATTTTTTAAAAAAATTAATGTATTTTATGCTGTCTTGCAGATACAGTATAGAAGATTTGTCAACTGAAGGGAAGTATCTTGTGAACATGAATCTACAAATCTGCTTTGAAGCAAATAAAACATGCATGGTTGATGCACCTGTTTTCAAACACACTAAACTTCCAAAGAAACCTTGTGAATGGATGACAGATTTTATTGATGAAGGTATTTGATGTTGATATATTGTTAGAATAAGAAAATAAATTTTAAATTTCAAACAGACATAATACATGTACTTTTATTTTCCTTAATTTGTTTTAGTATTGACTGTTCCCGATAAATATAAAGAAAGGAGAAGTTGTAAAAATTAGGGATTTCTTCTTTCAGCATTTTCTTTTGATGCTTGGAAACAAATGAAAGCAATCATTACATCCGGCCTTTCTGACAATTTCCGCACAGAACTTCTTAAAGATCTTGGTCTATCTCCCTTCATGTATGCAGACAGTAAAAAATGTAGCAATATCAAAACACCATACATTGGAGCTGTAGATAACTGGAATAATGGTATGCATTGGGTTTTTTTACTTTAAAAAAAAGTTAAAAAGTTCTTTGGCTATGATTTCTTTGGAAATTAAATTGAATGATGCCTTTATTGAGAAACCTGTATAAAGAAAACAGTTGAAGAGAATCACATTGATAAGGTAAATGTTAGTTTTGTCCAATTTTAATAAAATATAAAACACAAAAATCACAATAGAAAGATAGTAACCTTATTCTATATATTAACTGATTTTCATTAAAGTGAAGGTGCAATAGTTAGAAAAGATTTTGAAAATTCTGTGAAATATCTCAAAATAGTTTCTTTTGAAGTTTCAGTCTGGTTTTATTGAAATCATTCACCAAAATACAAAATATTTGTATTTTGGCTTTAAGGTATCTCAACAATGTTTGGGGAGTTTAAACTGTTATTGACTATATCCCAGGTTTAAGTTTTTAAAGCACATTTCATGTCAAGTACTTTTGTGCCCCATATTGAATAGAGATGTGTGGATGATGCTTCTAATTTCTTGTAGAGTGTAATGGGACACTACTGGCTCCCCTCCCCTCTCTAGCTGGTGAAGATATCACATGTCACATCTCCAGCTCTTGTGCAGCTGTACAGTGCTGTGTCAATGTCCCAATCATCAGCACCACATTTCACACGAGACTGGAAGTAGATCCTTGTAATTTCCTCATGACTGTTGAGATAGAACAACTTAAATTCACCAGAAAACTGTTTGATTATGAGTGGGGAATGGAGGAGCAAGTCTGGCTATTTGGTGTGGTCAGAATGACGTATGTTAAAATTTATGTTTGAATGGACAAAGAAGTTATTATTGCAATCATTATTATAAATTAAAAGTCAAAAGATACAATCCAAAATATATATAAGTTGGGATTTTATGTTTGCTTTTCCCACTATAATTTCTTACTACCTTTGTATACATGTAGTCTACATCCACAATGGCCATAAAATCAAAGTGTAAGGGAAATAGCTCTGCAATTATTTTTCTTTGCTTCTTTTCTTTACTGTTTATATCAATAGTAAATCAGTATATATCTTTTTCAGGTTCAGTGTGTTTGATTTATATACTAAAGGATACTTCATTGTGAATCTGAAACTTGAAGTTTGCTTAGAGGCTGCAAAGGTACCTTTGTGTGAAGTAGCTATTCAACCCTTGAGAGACTACTACCTGCCAAAGAAAATTTGTGAATGGAATGCTCCTTTTAGCATCAAAGGTATATGTATATACAGTAAAACTCGGTTATAACGAAGTTACAGGGACCTGTGAAATCACTTCGCTACATCCGTAATTCATTATATCTGAGTATGGAATTCGTTAAATTTATATAGCTGAAGGTCCAAGATAATTTTGCTATATCCGTGAATTTGCAATATCTGTGTTCATACTAAATAAGTTTTACTGCAGATTTATTTACTGATAGTCTTTGTGTAAATTTCTTTTGGGGGTCAGAATTGTAAACTAAGTGGGTTTTTTTATGAAACAGCTTGAACTGCGTTTCAGCCAAATTTGGCAGAACAACCTTACCAATGCAGGTGTTAAAAATTATTGGCCAGGGAGTTGTTTTGACAAATCAAAGTTAGAACATTTAAAGATAGGGCAACTGATAGGAAAAGATAATTATCCGGGTCAACAGAAAAAAAAGATGCTTGTGAACATTTCAAAGAATCTTGGAAAGCAACTTTCCTTGGATGAAATAAAATGATTAAATGTATTTTGAAAGCAACTTTCCTTGGATGAAATAAAATGATTAAATGTATTTTGAAGTTGAGTCTACATTTAAATATCTAAATTGCACTTATTAATTAAGTCTAGTAACAAAAATTATCCCAGAACCAAGATTTAACATAATTTCTTCAGTATGAAACATCTGTTATTTTCAGGGTTTTCACTGGCTGCCTGGCAGATTGCAGAAGGTGTTGCCAACACAGTGCCTATAGATAGTAGTGTAGTTGATGGTCTTCTCTCTGATTTGAATGTAGCAGCACTTATGTATTATCCCTCCTGTTCATGGGCAGACATTGATTATTCTAGTGCTACCACAAACATGCAAACTTGTAAGATTTTTATCTTCAATTATTTCAGCAGTTAACATTAAAAATTAATGAGATTTTCAACATTTTTAAAAATATATATACACTGTATTACAGCAATGCTTCATCCTTTCTACACATGACTGTACAATATAGAACTGATACAATTTAAGTTTCATCAGTGTCAAAGATTTATAATTTTGAGGAGACCAAAATCACTTTTATTAGATTGATGATTCATCTATTGTTAAGCTTAATGTGATAAATTAAAAAATAAAAGGTGATAAATGTTCATTTTTCTATTTTTCCTCTCAGACTGTCCTGTGTCAGTGCAGACATCTCTCTCATCCATTGCTGATCAAGCTCTGTGCAGTGTTTTCTCATCTTGTACCAACATTAAGTGCTGTGTCAATGTCCCACTCCTTAACAGGACGTTTGAGGTAGGAATGGAACTTGACTACTCTTACTACTCACTGAAAGTCAGTGTGGAGAAGATGACCAGGAGACAGTCTCTTATTGGATACACATTTGGAAGAGAACAGACACTGAGCGTACAGGGAGTTTTCAAACTAATGTAAGAATTAAGTGTTGTTGTACATGTATAAACAGTGACTACACATTATATTATGAATATTTGATTCTTTGATATAGGAATGTTGACTTTTATGTTTTAGATATCAAGTAAATGATTTGGTGGATGGAAACTTGCTTGATATAAGCTTAAGAGCAGAAGCTTGCTTTAATGATGGTGGAACATGTGCTGTCAGAATTCCTATCTTAACCAATGCTCTGATACCAAAGAGGAACAGGAAATGGTCATCTCAGTATACCGTCAAAGGTAGGTTATTTAACTAAAATTACTAAGTAGTTACGCAAGTAACCACGAAAAAATCAAACAACTTCATGAAAGAGGCTCATGACCAGAGACATGTTTGCCCTATACCTGAGTTATTTTGGAAGAGTTCACCACTACAGAAGTGTTAAATTATTGTTCTGAGGAAATTGGAATAGAGAAAAATTAAAGTGTGCTGATACTTAAGACAAAGGGTGTTTTTCTTTGTCAGCTGTTGATATTGCTATCATAAATTTACAGATTTTTCATTAAGTCAGTGGAAGACTGAAAAAATGATTGCTGGAAATTTAAAGCAACACCAGATCCATGAACTGCTAGAGATGCTAAGTCTGCAACCATACACTAGGGCAAATTCTTGCAGTAGACACAATCCACCATATAATACTGCAGCCTCTGATGGATGGGTCAATGGTATGTAATTTTATAGTTAATGTTTGCAAAACATTAAATTTCTTTGAATATTAAAGAAAAAACGAAGTAAATGAAACTCAAGATGAAGATAGCATAACTGAGAGGAAATTGTGAACCATCCTTTATGATTTCATTTACTGTTAATTTTCACATGATACTTTTATATTTTGAAGAAGGCATTTAAAATGTACTTAAAATCATTTGACCAAAAAATTGATAATCATCCAAACATAATAAAGAGTTATTTTCTATCATGATTAATAACTGTATGTGTTTGCTTCAAGTAATATTTCTTAAAATAAGATGGACCTGTGGTTCTTAAGAATAAAATGTGATTTAGAGTACTGTATAGGGGGGAAATAACTCGCGGTGTTAATATTCGCTTTATTCACGGTGTTAATAAATCCGTGAATTCAAGAAACAGTGAATAATTATTCAAAAAATTCCATGTTTAATTTAGAAATTTGAGAATAGACTACAATAGGTTTATATACATGTACGTGCAGTACATACATGGTCATTTCAGTAATTCCAAGTAGTGCCGTACTTGTCGTATAATTATCACGCTTTAATTTAATTCAAATTAATCGGCAGATGATAACCCATATTTGTTAAAAAGCTGTTTTACCCATATAAGAGGAAATTTTAGCGAAACGCAAATTTAGCGATTTGTCCTTAAAAATGGGTATTTTATTTTTAGCAATAAGTAATTTTAGCGATTTCAAATGCTAACTAAAGAAGTAATCACAAATAAAATGCTATAAATTTTTAGCGATATTTAATTTTAGTGATCTCAACACCCTCGTTAATAATGCCAAAATTAAATCCTCGCTAAAAATTCTGCTTATACGGTAATAGCCAACGCTTCATTTTTCTTCAATCAAAACACGTGGGCCATGGGTTTTGTTTACCCGTGCGTAAAGTGTTATCACGTGTATTTGTTACCTGCATTATCGTGCATATTAGTTTTTATCAACATTTTGGTTTTAAAAAATCATTCAGATAACTATTGAACTTACTGAATATGTGGAAGGATATTATTTCTTCGACCTACATGACACATTTATTACCGTCCAGTGGTTTTTCGCCGCGTTGTATTGAAGATCTTGGGGTGTACATGCACTCATCGTATTAGCATATTTCAAAGTAATTTGATGTTTATTAGTTAAGGACTTTTAATAACTGCACTTGTTTTAATTGATTGTCAATTATTTATTAAATCTAACTATTTTATATTAATCTACCCTGTTGTTAGTGAGATAATGACATAACGCTAATTAATGTCGTTTACATATAGCTATGGTATGGATAAAGACAAGGGGGGTTAACTTTTATTATATACAAATTCCGCTAATTTAAGAACCCACGATCGTGTCAGATGAGAGAAAAACGTGAAAATTACAACCCGTGAAATTAATCCCCTATACAGTGTATGTTTGAATGTGGGATAATCATACATGCCAACTTTTGAAAATTTTCTTGGGGGAGATTGCGCGTAACGACATTTTTAAAAGTTCCTAATTCGCGGCGTTTTGTCGTGAAATAACTTTTTGTAATGTTTTTTCTACATTAACAATCTACTACCTTAATTATTTCATATATTATTACTACTTCAAAAAGTGTTTTCTTCTCTATCAACTTAAAGAAAAGCACAAATACAAGTCATTTAAAATTTGAAAAAAGACAATTTTATTCAAAATTATTTGATATGTTAATATTAAAATAAATATACCCTCTGTCTTGAAGAATGTGACACACAAAGTTAACATATTAGTACATAAAATAAGGATGTTAAACTTTACAAATAAGCTGAACTGTTCATTGTGTGTTGGTAAATTACAAAGTTTATAAGGCTACTGTAATACAAAATATTGTTAAATTATTTTTTTCTTAATTAGAGGGAATATTAAGTCACTTTAACTTTTCAATCAGTCTGCAAAAGACATGGTCTTTTCCTTTTTTTTTTTTTTTGATCACTCTGGGCAGTCCTAAAGGTTTTCATTTGCAGGCACATTTTTTTCCATGTTGGATTTTGGCAGTGTCTTTTCCATGAAGTAGATTATAATTTAATGAGGAATTCAATATTCCAAAACTTGAACACCTTTTATAAACGGTTTATACGTATATTGTCAAAGTTTGCTGTAAAGTGTGAACTCTCACAAGTTTGTCAGTTTGTATCCAGTGTCGTGTGTATTTCTAAAATTTCCACATCTGGCATAATTGTCTCGGTTAAAATACACTGTTAATGAAGTTCAGGAGCAATAAAAACCTCTGTAATGACTGGTAGCACAGTTGACACCTTGTTGATTACCTGTTATCAGCGGCAATAAACAGATATCCTACCGATCAACATTGAAACAGCCATGTTTTTGCACACGGAAATACTGTATTATTCAAAGCGAATCGGTAAAATTTTCGGATTTTCGAAATATCGGTAGAAATGGGAGAAAAAAAAATTAATCGGTAGACAAGCGGTAGACAGGGTTAAAAATCGGTAGACTCCCGAAAAAATCGGGAAAGTTGGCATGTATGGATAATGTCTCCTGTCTTGGAGGATATATTGCTTTTCTGCATCTATTCTGTATTTGAACATGACAGCATTCATGGATAGGAAAGAAAATTACATACAATGTATAAAACTTTGTTTTATTAATGATTCCTAACTGACAGTTCTGAATGAAATGGAGTTCTTTTTTTTTTAGGTTGTACAGTTCTAAACACCTTAGTGTCACTGAATCCTTACCCCATGACTTGTAACCTTGACAACACCTGTACCAATGTCACCTGTTGTGTTGAGTCACCTGTAATCAACTCTACATTTGAAGTTTTCGTGGACATCGATCCCTGTACTAGAATGCTGTTCCTCAGGATAGAGAAATTGACGGCCCAAATTCCTTTCAAGGACATAAAGTGGGGTAGGTTTTGAAAATATATTTTGTATCAGATTTATTTTGGGGTAGTAAATTTGAATTCATTAGCAATAAAATTAAGATTAAAATGAAAATTATGTTATTACAAGGATCCAAGAACAGTTTCCATCTCTTCAGTGTGATTCACCTTGAGTAAGTACTTTGAAACTTATTACAAAGATAAATGAGGTAGTGTATATTACAAGCAATTAAAATCAATATTGATATTACCTAAAAATAAATTTTATATAAAATATTTAATTGTATATTATATAAATACTGGTATTCATTGACTGTATATATATATGGTACTTTCTTGACAGGTACACCATCAATGATTTGTACTCCCAGAACTTCTACTTGGTTGACTTACAACTGTCTGTCTGTTGGGAGACATACAAGGATTGTGTGTTTACTGCAGCTGTTTTGCAAAACACATTCCTACCAAAAAGACATTGTGTTGAAAAAATGAATTTTGAGATTCCATGTTAGTATGCTGCTTAAAATGAGATATATAAATTTTAAATCATTTTCCTTAATTTTCTTACTTCAATCTTTGGAAAGAAAAGAAAATTGATCTTTGTTTTACATATTTTATAGCCTTTTCTCTCACATCCTATGGTGTAACTCATGACCTGGACTTGGACAATCTTTCTGTGACTGATTTTACATACCTCTTTAATAACCTGGGTATATCCAGTTACCTGTCCCCTGTCGTGTGTAACAGGACAAGTGAATTGTACCAACCTGCAAATGATGGTTGGAAATATGGTAAGCTTAAAAGGAGGTGGAGGAAATAAACATTTAGTGAGTGGAAGAGGAAACCAATTGGTATCTTAGAATCAACCATTGTGTAACTGTATGCAAGATGCACTTGTGCATCAGATTAAAATTTGAAAGTTCACTCTTTAAGCAATAATTGCTAATGAAATAACATTTTGTTTTGAACCGAAACAAAATCAGTTTGACAGATCATAATAATAGATAAATGAATATTGTTACAGTGATGCATTTATAGTTAATTCCGGAAAGAAATGTATCAAATATAACAATTCAGTGCCGTGTGTATTGTCTTATTTACACAAGATTATGGTTACGTAGAAGGAAAGTTTAATTCAAGTATATTTTGTGAGATTGCTCAAAGTATCCATTATGAATGCATTAAGGTACTGCACTGTATATATTCCTATAAAAAATATTTATACTAGAGTGCCCAAAGGCTGCCGTTCTTGCCTCACTGCCTGGTAATGTGAACTGTCACATGACTTCCAAATGTAGCAGAATTAGCTGTTGTATGGATGTGACAAAGTTGATGTCCCGCCCTGTGACCTTTCACCTCTCTGTGGACAGTTGTAGTTGGATGATTGGTTATGGGATTGACAGCTTCATTGTAAATCCTTTTGTGATGTCAGATTTTGAGTTTAATGTTTGGCATGAGTTCTGGATGAAAGGAATATTCCGTATGAGGTAAGTATACTATACTGCAAATTCCATAACTTTTGTGATGTCAAATCACTGTATTAAGAAATTTCATTTAGGTTATAAAATATATGCAAAGAAATTTCTATTTGTGATTGGTTTTCTAGCTGTATTAGAGCTGTATTAGTAAATTCTGCCATAATATACTGTAAACCAACTTTTATTTCACGAGAACCTTGTGATCGTGAATATTTCTTGCCACAAACTGGTCCTTGAAGTGTATGTCTATTAAAAACAGATCCAAGAAGGTTTGATTTGCAAAAATTAATCATCCTGATCTAGTTTATCCTGGGAAAATCACGAAATAAAGTCATTGCAAAGAAAAGTTGGTTTATAGTATTTAATTATGAATCATCACAATATGCACTGCCATGTATATATTTAATTGTATCAGTTGAAGAATCCAGACATTTGTACAATTATTTTTTTTCTCATTTTGATACACTTAAAGTCATATTTTACTTATTTTAAAAAGAAATGGTACCGTAATTGACAAATCATCATTTTTTTGGGGATTAAATGTTTCATTAATTTTACCTCAACCCACCAAGTCGAAAAAGATCAAACTCTAAGTTTGTGAACACGTTGATTCATTTAATTTTAATGCTGATCTCTATGAATTAAAATGGTTCAACAGTATATAAACTTTGATACAAGGATATGCCAAAATGAAGTTTTTGGTGTCCTGCTTTTCTGTAATCTTGATTTCTTTGAAAAAATTTTAAAGTCTTTGAGAACTGTGAATTGATAATTTGGTTGACTGGATTGAAGATTAATATTGTGTTGGAGGAGGGAAACTTTAAAGTTTTATTCATTTATTTAGTTTTCTATAAACTTCATAGATTCTCCATCACCGATTTACAAGGAATAGACCAATTTCGAGTCAGCCTTAAGATCATGGCCTGCTTTGAGAGCGGAGCTGCTTGTGATCAGGAGGTTGTCTTACTCAACAATACACTACTGCCTAAAAGAAACTGTGAAATGGTCCTAGGAACACCAATCAAAGGTACAGATATATGAATATTAGTTGAAGATATATTTCTCTTTTAAAAATAGTTGTAATAAATATTACTGACCTACTTTTTAAGTCAAATGCCTTGCAATAAATTTGTTTGAATTAAATTAAAGCATTACATGTATAATTAACTTTTACCTGTAGATTTTTCAATTGGGCAGTGGAAAGCAGAGAAAATGGTTACAACAATGAATGAATACAACATAGCTATTTTAGAGGAGGAATTGGGAATGTTTGGATACATGTTCAACAAAACACATGCCTGTGACAGGTCTCCCAAATTTTCCACTTCATCTGGATGGACTAATGGTATTTTATCAAAAAGTTTCAATTTACTGTGCATTGTATTGTAAATGGTGATTCTAAGTTTTCAAAGTTGTATAAGCATTGTGAAAGTGTTTTTTTTTTTTCAGATTGCCCAGTGACTTTAACATCTTCTTTACCATACATTAATGGTCCATTTTCTTGCAATTTGGGATCATCCTGTTCTGGTATCACCTGTTGTGTGAATGCTGAGCCAATGGCAAGACACCTAACTTTTACAGCTAAACTAGAATTCTGCCAGGACAGAATCACACTTGCCATTGACGAATTTGAACTAGAAACAAAAATCAGCAAAATAATCTCTACAGGTGAATGATGGAGTTTAAAAATAAAAATGAATAAAATGTTAGCCAAAATTTGGTTGTACAATCATATACAGTAAAATCTGACATCAATGTACTAGTTTATCTTTGAAACATTTTTTATTCCTGATTTTTCTCTATGGTTCTATCATTTCATATTCTCAAATTAGTTGTTCTTTTTCGATTATTTCCAGCATGATACTGATTAAAACACAGATTGAAAGAATTTTTTAAAATAATTAATGCATTTTAGTGAGTGACTTGACAAAGATGATATTCAGTTTAATTTGAAATATTTTCTTAATCTCTCCTTTTTTAAAAAAAATCTTATTGTTTCAGGGAAAGAAGAAGCTCTGAACATCAGTGGAATTTACCAGTTAAAGTGAGTCAGATTCTACTAGAGAAATGATAGATAAAGAATATTTTTAAATTACTCCCTTATGATTATATATTACAAATAATATTTGACATAGCAAGTTTACTAGTGGTTAATTATACATATCAATATCTATGTTTATGGATATTTTGCTAGAATATCTGTGGAAGACCTTGCTAACTCCAACATATACCTAGTCAGCCTCTCTCTCTCAGCATGCTGGGATGGAATTTATTCCTGTGAGGAGTACACAATTTTATCCAACACCAGACTTCCCAAATCTCTGTCTCAGCCATACTGTAACTGGCAGGGGACGTATGCCAACCCTAGTAAGTGGAAACATTCCAAAATGTAACAAAGTTGGATTGATTCACTTTATTACATACTTAAAATAAATGAATGTTTTAGTCTGGAAAAAAAATTGAATCTCATGGTCCCTGTTCTCCTTGGGGGGCATGAGAGTTAGGCTAAGGAAAATCAATGCAATCTTTCAAAAGTTAAATTAAATTCTTCTTTTTTCCTGGACATAAGCAGCTAAACTGTTGGCATTATTGCATAGGCAATCAGCCCTTTAACAGTATGTGAATTTCGTGGCCCCAGGGTCAGGAGTTCTGCTAATCATTTAAAAACACTAAGTCTTTAAATAGCTTCTTCTCTAGACCTGTATTATGTTGAGTTGAAAAGGTTAAGGTCAGAAATTCATACACTCTGTTTGATTGTAACACTTGTTTCTGGGCTTCATCTTTAAAAGTCATCCCTCAGCCCCTCTGGCTGATTTTTGGGTTGATCCAGAATGTGATATGAAAAAGGGTATGAATCAAAAGCACAACAAAACTTTTATCTCTCCTCAGACTCATGCGACCATTACAAATTTGATGTAGGGAAAATATTCTGAATGTAACAGGCATGTATGTTATAGCAATGCTGATATTCTTTAAACTTCCTTTTCATGTTGCTCAGGTTTTACACTGACCTCTTGGTTATCCTCCAAGGGATACCCTGAGACTTCACCACTGATGGATGTACCATTACAGGACCTTATGGAGCATCTCAAACTTAACAGGTTCAAGGGAGAAGACTGTGACAAATCATCAGTTTTACATATGCCAAGTAACAGTACTGGATGGAACAACAGTATGTTCTTTAATACATATAATTTCTTTATGTGACACTGGAAATTTGATCTTAGATCATATGGAATAATTGGGATGTTTACATTTCCTTCTTCTTGTAGCTTGTGCCAGTCCCCCTGATTTGGTGCCCCTGTCCAGTACACTGACCTGTCACTTGCCTAGCTCCTGTACAGGACTGGACTGTTGTGTGTCCAGCACTGAGTTAGGACAGAGCTTCAGGACTTACCTAGATATTGATCCCTGTACATCCAGGATCACTGTGGCTATTGACAACTGGAGATTTACAGAACTGTCAAAGGAATCCATCAAGATGCTGGACACTGGTAAGTGTTCAGATCACCTGAGACTTATAAAAATTTTTGAACATCTTTGAATTGTCAGTTCCAATTTTAACTAGTTTCAGTAAAAAGCAATTGATAAAGGTGGATACCCCCAAATGGCATCTTGTACTTTTTAATATTGAAATGTTGAATATAAATATTAAATACAGGTAGCTGCTCTCATTTATTTTAATTTCTCTTTTAATTTGAATAGAATTCCAAAGAAGTATTTGGATGAATGGAGTTGTAAGAATGGAGTGAGTAAATGTTCCCATATAAAGTAGTATATTTTATGATGCATGCAGGTAAACAATATATTATTGTAAATAAATATTTTTCCTCCAAACAGGGAATACAAACATTTGCAAATTTTTATAGTTTTAAGCATTTATAAAAGATGGAAATTCAGTAGGATAAACTTTGATTTGCATATACATGTACATGTACATGTACTACCCAGAAATGAGAATGTGCAAACTTAAGGAAAAGTATATTATTCTATACATATTGTTTTTTTTGTTTTTAAGTATTCATTTGAAGAATCTATGGTACGCTAACAAATATCTGGTCAGTCTTAACATAAGCATATGCCTTGAAAATCAAAGTCCGTGTGAAGTAAAGCAGACAATCTTCAGGAATACCCTGCTTCCAAAGAAAAAATGCAGTTGGATTCAAGACTTACCAAATGGTTTGTTCTTTATACAATTCTTATTGTAGAATATAAATAGGAACAGCTTTAATGGTGGAAACAGTCATTATATTTATAGATTTATATTTTTTCTTTTCAAAATATTAATTGTATCATTTCATCTGACAGTATGTTTTTGATATAATGTTGTTGTGCATTGATGAATGAATATATGTAATGTTTAATAGTCATTCAGTTTAGTTTTTATAGCTATGACAAACTGCTTTAATTAATATTTTATGCTTTGTCCTGTCTATCATTAAGAAAGTTTTCGTGTCCTGTAAGTCCAGTAATTTACACTTTTAGTCTTTGGCCCTCTGAGTGAATAACATTTGCTACAGATTTAGAGCAATACTTAATTGTGCTCCATGACACTGCCAGCTTATTACCCAAACCTCATACGTGATGTGTAATACTTGACATTGTGAAATTGGTTGATATGCAAAATATGTTAATTTTCATTTTCAGGATTTTCTCTTTCACCATGGAAAATGAACAACTCACTTGGCCCTCACGAGAAACTCTCAGATATCATGATTTCTAAACTTGATGACTATTTAGGATTATCAAGCTACAGAAAACCATCCAAGTGCAACAGGAGAAGTTCACAGTTCTGGCCAACATTCAATGGATGGAAGGAGGGTATGATTTTATAGCTGTAACCAAGTTTGATATTAAATGTGTATGTCAAGTGTGACTATTTTTTTTCCAAAGTTAAGACTTTTTTGACCAACTTTCCCTAATTGCATATAAAGTAAACTTGGTGAAGTTACCTGCACCACAGTATTGTCAAAATGTTCAAAATCTGTAATCAAATTTCTTACAATTTTGTTAGACTAGTGCAGTATACTACAGTTGCAAAGTAATATCGTCATTTTAGGAGTCGTACATGTATGTCTTAAAAGTTCTGAGTGACATCAAAATACATATACCCTTGCCTGACATTTTCAAAGAAAAAAAAAGGAGTTAAACAAATCGCAGACAATGTTCATAGTCTGTATAATTACATTGTATATAACCCATAACTTACAGACTGTAGATTATCAGGCCTCCCTTACAACCTGGAGAAGAAGACGTCCTGTCAGCTTCACTCTAGCTGTACCTCCATCACCTGCTGTACAGAGGACACAGAGCTACAGACCACAATCTCCTGGTTCTTACACATTGACTCCTGTCGTCTAAAACTGAGTGTCGGAATAGAGGAGTGGAAGGCTGACTTCTCTCTCATTGACTTCAACTTTGGTTTGTATTATGTGTAATAGATTTCACTTTTTTTTATACATTCATGGATTATTAAAAAAATTTAACATACAGCATTTTAGAGCCTGTTTTTCTGTAAGTAATATTTTTAGTTGTATTTATTAAAAGTAAGTTCAACAAGTCTTGACTAAGCCAGTAAGGTTTGTTTAGCAACCAAAAAATAATTTGTAATGTGAAGAGTAGCTAGAGTATGAAATAAAAGAAGAATTTCAAAGCACTATATGTAATACATAGACACATTTTTAGCTCACCTCAACGAAGTTGGGGGGAGCTTATGTGATACCCTCGGCGTCGGCGTCCCAGGTTAAGTTTAAGTTTTTTGGGGCAGTTTTCTTTTTAAGTACTTCTTTGTCCTATATTGATTAGACATGCATGGAAGATGCTTTTAGTGTCTTTCATTGTACCAGTCCAAGATTCAGATGCTGCAGTATAAACAAAGAAATGACCAGATTAATGTTTTTTGGAGCAGGTTAACATTTTTGGTGCAGTTTTTGGTGTAGGTTTCATTTCCAAGTAACTATAAGCCCTATGTTGACCAAACTTGCATGGATGATACATCTAAGGATGCATACTACCGGGCCTGCTTTCGGATGCTGAATCTGACCTACATTTTCCGGTTGAGTGAACAGGTTAAAGTTTTTGGTGCAGATTTCAATTCCAAGTAACTTTAAGTCTTATGTTGACCAAACTTGCATGGATGATACATCTAAGGATGCATACTACCAGGCTTGCTTCGGATGCTGAATCTGACCTACATTTTCCGGTTGAGTGAACAGGTTAAAGATTTTGGTGCAGGTTTCATTTCCAACTATCTATAAGTCCTATGTTGACCAAACATGCATGGATGATACATCTAAGGATGGATACTACCAGGCTTGCTTCGGATGCTGAATCTGACCTACATTTTCCGGTTGAGTGAACAGGTTAAAGTTTTTGGTGCAGGTTTCAATTCCAAGCAATTATAAGTCCTATGTTAACCAAACTTGCATGGATGTTACATCTAAGGTTGCATACTACCAGGCTTGCTTCGGATGCTGAATCTGACCTACATTTTCTGGTTAAGTGAACAGGTAAAAGTTTTTGGTGCAGGTGTCATTTCCAAGTAACTATAAGTCCTATGTTGACCAAACTTGCATGGATGATACATCTAAGGATGCATACTACCGGGCTTGCTTCGGATGCTGAATCTGACCTACATTTTCTGGTTGAGTGAACAGGTTAAAGTTTTTGGTCCAGGTTTTATTTCCAAGTAACTATAAGCCCTATGTTGACCAAACTTGCATGGATGATACATCTAAGGATGCATACTACCGGGCTTGCTTCGGATGCTGAATCTGACCTACATTTTCCGGTTGATTGAACAGGTTGAATTTTTTTGTGCAGGTTTCATTTTCAAGTAACTTTAAGCCCTATGTTGACCAAACTTGCATGGATGATACATCTAAGGATGCACACTACCGGGCTTGCTTCAGATGCTGAATCTGACCTACATTTTCTGGTTGAGTGAATAGGTTAAAGTTTTTGGTGCAGGTTTCATTTTCAAGTAACTATGAGTTCTTTAATGACCAATCTTGCATGGATGATACATCTAAGGATGCATACTACTAGGCTTGCATCGGATGCTGAATCTGACCTCCTTTAATGTGGATGAGTGAAAATGTTAGTTTTTGATGCATGTTTCATTTCCAATTAACTATGATCCCTATAATGAGCAAACTTGCATGGACGATACATCTTAGGATACACACTAATGGACTTGCTTCGGATGCTGAATTCGACATACATTTTTCAGATAATAGACCAGGTAGAAGTTATGGTTGCAGGTCTATTTCCAAAAAACTATAAGGCTTATATAACATTGTATAAACCAAACTTGTACAAATGTTGCATCAAGAGATGAAAACTCTCAAATTTGCTTCAGATGCTGGATTTTGATTACATTTTCATAAAGAAGAACTAGTTTAAAATTTTTATGTAGGTCTATTTCAAGGTATCAGATCAAAATTGCTTAAATATTTTATTTTTGGAATGTACACTTTTTGTTGGTTAATTGTGTGACTTTGCCTTACTTAAAGACAACATTCGTTGAGGTGAGCTCTGTAATCTCTGATTACCTATGTTTGTACAATAAGGTAACGGATGTAGCAATATGATTGTATCTTTTTAGGAGAAAACAAGATATTCCAGCTTGGTGGAGTATACAGGATCAGGTAGATATTGCTTAATCTCAAATGATTTAAAGCTTTTAATATGCATTCAGGCAGATATAAGATCATGATAGTAGCTCACTCAATGTTTTTCTTCACTGTGTACTTGGCTGATAATTTTCAATATTTCCAGATACCTCTGGATTCTACTTGCAAATATATTTATGTTTCAGTTATACTCTTTATGACCTGCCTTTCGACTCACACTACATGTTGAGTGTGAATATCAGCATATGCTATGAACCAAATCACTGTATGCTGACAGAGAGTATACTTAAGGATATGATGCTACCCAGACCTGTGTGTGACTTTAAAACCACAACATATGATAAACCAGGTAACTTAGTGTTCAAGATTTACAATCCATTATATCCTATAATAATAAATCTTTTTTTAGCTCACCTCAACGAAGTTAAGGTTTAGTTTTTTGGAGCAGTTTTCTTTTTAAATACTTCTATGTCCTATATTGATTAGACATGCATGGAAGATGTTTCTAATGTGTTTCATTGTACCAGTCAAAGTTTCAGATGCTGCAATTTCAGCAAAGGAATGACCAGGTTAATGTTTTTGGTGCAGGTTAACATTTTTGGTGCAGTTTTTGGTGTAGGTCTCATTTCCGAGTAACTATAAGCCCTATGTTGACCAAACTTACATGGATGGTACATCTTAGGATGCGTACTACCAGACTTGCTTCGGATGCTGAATCTGACCTACATTTTCTGGTTGAGTGAACAGGTTAAAGTTTTTGGTGCAGGTTTCATTTCGAAGATACTATGAGCCCTATAATGACCAAACTTTCATGGATGGTATATCTTAGGATGCATTCTACTAGACTTGCTTCGGATGCTGAATCTGACCTACATTTTCCGGTTGAGTGAACAGGTTAAAGTTTTTGGTGCAGGTTTCATTTCCAAGTTTCTATGAGACATATAATGACCAAACTTGCATGGATGGTACATCTTAGGATGCATACTACCAGTCTTGCTTCGGATGCTGAATCTGACCTACATTTTCCAGTTGAGTGAACAGGTTAAAGTTTTTGGTGCAGGTTTCATTTCCAAGTTACTATGAGACATATAATGACCAAACTTGCATGGATGGTACATCTTAGGATGCATATTTCAAGACTTGCTTCGGATGCTGAATCTGACCTACATTTTCCGGTTGAGTGAACAGGTTAAAATTTTTGGTGCAGGTTTCATTTCCAAGGTACTATGAACCCTATAATGACTAAACTTGCCTGGATGGTACATCTTAGGAGTACTACCAGACTTGCTTCGGATGCTGAATCTGACCTACATTTTCTGGAGGAGTAAACAGGTTAAAGTTTATGGTGCAGGATTCATTTCCAAGTAACTTTGAGCCCTATAATGACCAAACTTGCATGGATGGTACATCTAAGGGTGCATTCTACTAGGCTGGATTCAGAAGCTGAATCTGACCTACATTTTCCGGATTAGTGAAAAGGTTAGTTTTTTATACAGGTTTCATTTCCAAGTAACTCTGAGCTCTATGTTGAAAAAACTTGCATGGATGATACATCTTAGGATGCACACTAATGGACTTGCTTCAGATGCTGAATTCGACATACATTTTCCAGATAATAGACCTCGTAAAAGTTATGGGTGCAGGTCTATCGCCAAGAAACTATAAGGCTTATATAAACCAAAGTTGCACAAATGATGCATCAAGGGATGAAAACTCTCAATCTTGCTTCAGATGCTGGATTTTAATTACATTTTCATGATGAAGAACTAGTTTTAAGTTTTTATATAGGTCTATTCCAAAGTATCAAAATTGCATAAATTTTGCATTTTTGGAACACTTTTTGTTGGTTAATTTTGTGACTTAATTTGCCTTACTTAAAGACAACATTTGTTGAGGTGAGCTCTGTAATCTCTGATTACCTATGTATTTTCTTTCAGTTGACTTTTTATTGTTAAACCATTTCTTTAAAGATATCCAAGTCTCTTGCTTTAATTGGTGTAATATAAAACAGGTTTTTCATTGAATTCCTGGATTACTGAAAGAGAACTTGCAGAGTCCTCATTACCAGAATACAGTATCTCTGAGTTGTATGAAGATCTAGGACTAGCTATGTTTGTGAAAGAAAATTCCTGTAGTATAAGTACAAACTTCAGCTCCTTGACAAATGGATGGGCAAAAGGTAAAATGTCTTTGCAGCTGGAAAATTTCAGTTGAGTTAATGCTATAAGCATTAATCTGCTAATTACGTCACCCTTTTTAAAATAAAGAATTTTTGATATGACAAAAAGGATGATCATTTGCCCTAACAAAGACATTTGAAATTGATTCTTGCAATTGATTATTAGTATGACTTATCAGTACTTATGCATGCACCTAACCAATTCATTTATTTATTAATATTAAAAATACCAGCTGAAATGAGTTGATTTCTTTTACAATTTTTTCACAGTCATATTGTTCATATAATATGCACTGTATAAAAATAAATGTTTGTTTTTCATCTGCTCCAGACTGTCCACACCCCATTACAACTGAAGGACTACCACCAGATCTAGCTTGCTACATTCCTAACTCCTGTACTGCAGTGTATTGCTGTGTAAATGCCAGTACTCCATTCCAGACATCACTCTCAGCCTTCCTAGATCTTGATCCTTGTAATAACAGACTACTGATTGGCATAGAGGACTTCATTCACAGTT